GGCTGCTCTTGGCTGTCCTGTGGGCGGCGCTGGGTCTCTAGGGGTCCAGTAGCTTGTGTACCTCTAGAAGCTCATGGCCTTTGCATATAAAGGAGGCTTCTCGGGATCTGGCTTGTGTCTGATCCAGCTTCCTTCCTTGTGTCCTTGTACTCCCTTATCCCAGAGTGACTTATGTCTGGCCCTCAGATAGGGCAACCATAAAACATTATAAAAGGCTTTGTTAAAGTAAATAAGTCACTCCCTGCTGTTCCCAAGCCAGTGTTCCATGTGTCTGCTATCTGAGCTTGTGCTCTTTAAATCACAGTTTATCTAACACCGAGCAATTAAGAGTGCCACAAGGCTTAAAAAACAATCAGGTTATCACAATGTGAAGTTATTCTGTTTGGTACTTGGGACCAGCATAGACAGCTGCCAAGAGTGGAGGGGTTACCTGGTCCGTCAGATTTTTCAGTGCCTGTCACTACTAGGGAAGCTGAGTTGTAGGAGGGTAGAGGCAGAGTCCAAAGCTGCTGGATGTGACGTGCCCATCACATACCCAGTGTATCCTGCTTCTGTTCTGCCTTCATGAACAGGTGGGAAAGGAGTGCCCATGGAGGCCCTAATTTGGTTTCTGATAGTCTACATTCTTAGCTTCCAACATAGACCCTTTTCATCCTGTCTTTGGGCATCTGGTGACTCTAGCATATATGCTGTGGTCCAAGTACTGTGGGGTTGCAGCCTCTGTCAGGATCAAATCTCCAGTGCTCACCAAAAGCCTAATTTCTTAGTGTTTGCTTGGTTTGCTGCAAGGAGCTGGCTGAAGAGCAGAGTGGTCCAGCAGACATTGTGTCTTAGAAGTAAGCTAAACATTATACAGTGCTAATCAGAGGCTTAATTATTGGTTGTTCAAGTTTGATTTCATCTTGTATTTGACTCAGAGAAAAGTTTGAAGATCTTGTTCTGTATGTGAATCTTTTGCTTGAAGAAGCAGTTTAGTTAGATGCTTGAAGGATGGTTATGATTGACAATTGGATGATTTTCAGTTAGCCAAGGAACTTCTTTGGGACCTGCTCATTGGTGCATGCCTGGGCTTGCTGGGGCTGTGTAGGTGTGGGGTGTAGCTGATGACCCACACAGGTGGGTAAAGGTGGTCCCAGGTCTTAGCCACAGCCCTGCAGGTGCCTTGTGCACCTCTCACTATGAGACCTGTTACCCCATTCTTGTGACAGGCTGTTCTGGAGTGAGCGGAAGATCACCAAGGCCCGGGAGTGGTTCCACCGCACAGTGAAGATTGATTCAGACCTGGGGGATGCCTGGGCTTTCTTCTACAAGTTTGAGCTGCAGCATGGCACTGAGGTAAGGCTGAACAGCAGGCACGCAGTGTCTTCCTGTCAGTGTCCTGGCCTCTGGTACTACAGGGAGCTCCGCCAGCCTTGGGCAACTCAAGAACCCAGTGCTTGCCTGCCCCACCAGCTGGACTGGGTGCTGCTTTTGGAGCTGGGTCCTGAGGGCAGGGAGGAGGCAGGTATAAGGGAGGTGAGGCTGCGGGATAGCCCAGGAGGAGTCCCACCTGAAGGCCTGTCTGATCCCTCCCCCAGGAGCAGCAGGAGGAGGTGAGGAAACGCTGTGAGAATGCAGAGCCCCGGCATGGGGAGCTGTGGTGCACCGTGTCCAAGGACATCACCAACTGGCAGAGGAAGATTGGGGAGATCCTGGTGCTGGTGGCTGCTCGCATCAAGAACACCTTCTAAGGAGTGGGTGGGGGTGGGACATGGACGCGTGTGCACAGGCCTTAGGTGTCTGTCTTCATTCATTAAAAATTTGTATGTAGTGTATCAGAGCTGGAGCCCCTGGTGTTTGTTTTTGAAGTCCCAGTCCATCTTCCTCTATATGAATGAGTGGTCGCAGCAGCTCTGGTTTGGGCATGAGGAAGTATGGTTGGGGTGCCAGGGCTTGTTGAGATTTGCTGGAGAAGGTGGTGGGAGCACAGGCTCTGCAGACAGCAGGACACCATCTCACAGGTCTGACATAGCAGGTTGGAGGCCACAGGGAACCAAAGCTCTGAGCGGGATAAAGCACTTGCAGGGTCGTACCCACAGGGTAGAGGACTGTTGGACTTGTGTCTAAAGGTACCCCCAAAGCCTCACGTGGCCTTGGTGGCATTTTCAGAGGCAGCAGGACCCTGTGTTCATGTGGGGGATCCAGAGTATGATTACTAAATTAGTCCAGGAATAGTTGGGGCCTCTTGGAGTTTGACTGTGAACAGGGTCTGTCCATGCTGCCTTCAAAGACCTCTAGGAAAGTGTAACCAGCAGGAAGTTGACTGATTTTTCCAGATTAACCTGGTTTTGCTAATTCATAGTAATTGTATCCTAAAGAAATTTTTTACTAGGTATTGAACCAAGACCTTCTCACTAAGTTGCATCACTAGTCTCCCTCCTCCCTCCCTCCTTTCCTCCCTCCCTCCCTCCTTTCTCCCTCCCTCCCTCCTTTCCTCCCTCCCTCCCTTCCTCCCTCCCTCTTTTCCTTCCTCCCTCCCTCCCTCCTTTCCTCCCTACTTTCCTCCCTCCCTCCTTTCTTCCCTCCTTCCCTTTCCTTCCCTCCCCCTTCTTCCTTTTCTCTTTCTCTCCCTCTCTCTTTCCCTCCCTCCCTCCCTCCTTCCTTTCTTCTTTCTGTCTTTCTTTCGTTTGTAACAGGGTTCAAATTCATGACCTCACACTTAGGAGGAAAGCACTTGAGCCACTGAGCTAAATCCTCTGCCTCTCCTTTTTCTTTTTTGCAACATAGGTTCTAGTTGCCCTGGCTGGGCTCAAACACTTAATCCTCCTGCCTCAGCCTCCTGAGTCCTGGGATTATAGGTATATGCCACCACACCTGGCTGTTTATCTCCATTGCTAGTTGGAAGACTATTACTTAGCCAGGTGTGGTGGCCTATGCTTATGATCCCAGCACTCTGGGAGACTGAGGTAGAATCTCAAGTTCAGACCCAGCCAGGGTAACTTAGTGATTTAACCAGACCCTATGCTAAAATAAAAAAAAAAAAAACAAGAAAAGGGGTTGGGGGTATACTTAGTGGAACAGCCCTGAATCACAGTAGAGACACAGAGACAGATATAGATACCCAAGAGACTTGGCTTTGTGGCCTTTATGCTACACGAGGGTGAAGGGCTTCCTGGGGCCCTGTGTCAGTACTTGTGTGCATTCACTTGAGAACCATCTAGTCATCTTGGGTGTGCGGGTGGTGCTGAAGATACCTGGCTGGAGGTCCTGGTTGGTGTAGAGGACAAGTGGATGATCTTCAGGTTGCTGGGCAGAAGAGATGCAGTCATATGGGCTGATAAGGGCTCAGCCCTCTGAGCTCTGCTTTCTGGGCAATAGCTTTTCCCGGTCTTCCTAAGAGATGAGTCCCAGAGGCCGCTATGTTTTGTGGTGCCTGTGACAGGGCCTACAGTGTGGTCAAAGCACTCCTACAGGGGTTCTTGTGCTGGCCTGTGTTCCTGTTCACTGCTGACAGGTAAGGATGGGAAGCCCTGTGACCACATGGGGTAGAGTGAGTCCCAGTGGACTCCTGTCCTGCTACAGATGCAGCCCTACCTCCTCTGTGGTGCTGGGAACCTGGAGGGTAGGATAGCAGGGCAAAGGATCAGTCCCCAGGTGATGCAGGAGCCGATGATTGTTTGGTGCTGGACAGGTCACATGGAGTTGCCAGCTCACACACAGCTTGCACATCTGCTCCCCATTGAGGCCCTAGGAGCTTCTTGGGTGTTTCTATGGAAACTGGGAGGGAGCCTTGGAATTCCCTGTAAAGAGGGAGTGCCAAGCCAGCCCATCTCCTTACAGATGAAAAGGGAGGACTTGGCTGTGGACTCAGGCTGCTGGTGACCACTGTCATAAGTGGGCTTGGTCTCCTTGATTCTTCCCCTGATTGGAGAGCTGAGTGTATAGTCGGGGTCACTGAAAAGGGTGATAGAGAAGGGTTCCTGTGGGGCTGTTGGAAGATTTCAGAGCAGCTACACTGTCCGTGTCTGCACACATTTCTCATTTAAGAGGGTGTATTTCCTGGTTGGTTTGAGGTGCAGCTACCTGTGTGCCTCACCAGCTTTTCTTCCTGGGAGCACATCTCTTTGCTTTTTTTTCCTTTTTCCTGGTTTTTTGAGACAGGGTCTCACTATACAGTTTAGATTGGACTTGAACTCACTTTGTAGCCCAGGCTGGCCTTGAAGAAGTCCTCCTGCCTCAACCTCCCAAGTGCCTTCGCTTTTGTGTCTGCGTGTGTGTGTGTGTGTGTGTGTGTGTAAGAGAGACAGACAGGCAGACAAGACATGTCTCACTATGGAGTTCAGGATGGCTTTGAACTTGCTTGGTAGCCCAGTCTGGCCTCGAACTTGTGATTCTCCTGCCTTGGTCTTCCAAGTGCTGGGATTACAGGTATATGCCACCAGGCCTGGCTTACCTTAGCTTTTCTAAAGCTGAAAAATTTCTATTCTCCAGGTAAAGGTGAACTGTATGTTCCAGAGGCTGCTCTTACACTCAAAGACTCTGACCTCACTCCCTCATGAAAGACCCCTTCATTCCAGGAGAGGCAAGGCTGAGCCAGCAGTGGAGCCTTGGGAAGTCCCGAATCTTGGCACCTGCTAGGGCAGGACTGCCTGATGTCAAGGTACAGGGGCTGGTGGTCATGAGCAAGGGATTAAGTCCTGTCCACCAGGTTCTGCTCATCAGGTCCCTGGGAAAGGCAGAACCTGCTGACCACAAAGACAGGCCCTGGCACCCTTGCCCAGCTCGCTTTACGCACTAGCTGGCCCTACACTGCCCTGTGCCAACCGAACACCCTACACCTACACAGTAGGGTCTTCCCTGGGGCTAACTCAATTCAAGCCCTATGGTAGCCGCTGGGTGCCAGAGTTTAGGTTGAAGCAATTGGATAGACAGTGAGTGGGGGAGCAGGGCTGGGCTGCTGGCCTCTCCCCTTCCTTTCCTCCTGTTCCCTCCCTCCTTTGCTGGAGGAGCCAACTTCAAAAGCTTCTCCGCGTGCCCTGCTGCAGTCCTGTGCCTGTGCAGGGAGGGCTGTAGATGTGTTGGACCTCCTGTGGCTGCCCAGTGCTGTCCACACACCACCAGAGGACTTCAGGGACATGCGCATGGCCAGTTGGAGGGAGTAAGGGAGGGCCAGACCTCGAGAGGCCCATGGTGAGCAATGGGGGCGGGGGGTGGGGTGGAGGTGAGGGGGAGCTTAGGCCAAGGGGCTGGTGTGCATACAGCTTGGAGAATGCTGCTTCTCTGGTGACTCCCTGAACCCTGTCTGGCCTTGAACTCCCTGATGGCTCCTGTCACAGCCCAGCTGTGGGTGCTGGCACTCTGGTCTTCTTGGAACCTGTTCTCCAATGATGAGCAGTCTGAGCTCTGGGCCTGGGGGGGTTGTAGACACTGGCTGAGTGGCCAGCACTCCCAGTGTGGGGCTTAGCCAGCGCTGAACGTCTTCCTGCAGCTCCTGCTAGCCTGCTCACATCTAACTCTTGTTCTTAGTGACTGATCTACAGTAGGCAGGGGGCGGTCGGCACTTTTGAGTGCACCTTGCTGGCCGTGGTTCTGTTGGATTTCAAGAATGGGCCACAGTGAACTGAATCTGTGGTGCCGCAACAGGAGCCTGCCACTTCTACTCCCCAGCTCTAGGCAGGCTTGGGTGTGTTTCCTCAGGCACCCCTGCCTGGGCTGGGAAGCCGAGTCCTGTCTTCTTACTGGGTTCACATGATTAATTTTCCAGCCCAAGTTGGCTGGCTGACTCCAGTCTGGGGCCGGGGGCAGGTTTGGGAACTGGCCCTTTTGCAGCCTGAGGCAGCCATCGGCTGTCTCTTCAATGTTTGGGCTTCTCCCAGAGCGAGTTTTCTCTGTTCTTGGGGGTAGAAGGCCTTTGGATCAACTGTGCTGGCAGGATTATGTGGCGGCTCTCTTCCTCCCCTATGGCCTCTGGGGATTTCCCTAGCCGCCTTCTGCCAGTGAAGTGTGACTTGGAGCTCTGAGCCCTGGCCTCTGTCTCAGTTTGGTTTGGGGTGCATGGGTGGGGGACCCCAGCTCCTATGGTTCAGAGCTGGTTGTAGCAGAAGCATTGATGGAAAGGAGGAGCCACAAAGGAGTGTAGCAGTTTGCCCCCCAGCTGAGGAGGCAGGTATGTAGCTCCTGCCCACGGGCGCAGAGAGGTAAAGTGGGGGAGTTAGAAAGGAGAGCCCATTTCTGGGTTTGGGTTGTGGCTAGCAGGTATGGGAGTGAACATGGCTGTGTGAGGCTGTACGTGGCTAACTTCCTGCTGTACCCCAGAACTGGCCACACCAGATGTGCAGAGCCAGGTGAGCCCTTCCCTCTGCTGCCTTATGGGTGCTCCATCCCTTGCTTGCCGTTACCCCAGGTATGCTAGTGTCAGGCCTCTTTCCTCTGGACTTGTGCGCCTTTTTGGGTCCTTTAAATCTCAGTGAAATGTCCTCTATAGCCCCTGTAGCACACCTAGAGTCCTGTGCATTATTTTTTCCTCCCCTTAAGAAGGCAGAGTTTTGGGCTGGGGATTTAGCTCAGCGGCATAAGTGCCTACCTTGCAAGCAAAAAAAGGCAGAGTTTTGGGCCAGGCATTTGTCTCAGCACTATAAGGTGCCTGCCTGACAAGGACGAGGTCATGAGTTCAATCCCTGGTACAAAAAACAAACAAACAAACAAACAAAAAACATTATGGGCGCAAGCGCCTGCCTGGCAAGTGTGAGGTCATGAGTTCAATCCTCAGTACTGGGAAAAAAAAATGAAGGCAGGGTTTTATCCTGCTAGACCTACTCTCAGGACCTTTGTTGAGTACTCACCTCTCCACCTTACACTGGCTCAGACATTTGTCAGTGGCCCAAAGTGCCTGCCAGTTTGTGCCTCCTGCTAGGACTCATCCTATAATTCAGGTGCCCAACCCCGACCTGTCATCCCCTACAGGTACCCCCAAGACCTGTGTTCTGGGCACTCGTGCTGGTGCTGTTGGGGTTTGCGCTGGGCTGGGCCCGGCAGCGCTCCTGCAGCGTCCCTGACGTGCTCCACCACTATCGTGCCGTTATCTTTGAGGACCTCCACGCAGCCATGAGGCAGGTCAAACCAGAAGTTCAAAGGACAGGACTGGGCTCCAGACGCCACCATTTAATTCGGAAAAACCTGACTGGGGATAGCGAAGGGCTGGGACGGCCTGAGGTCTCCTGTGGTACCCAGGAGGTATGGAGGGGGCGCCCCACCCATGTCCATCTGCTTCTCCCCTCGATGCCTCTGTCCCCCAGCTTTCTTCCTTTCCCTCCCAAGGAGCACAGTATCCTACTGTCCATTAAGTCCCTGGGTCGGACCCTGCGCGGAGCAGTAGCAGGGGACCGCCGTGGAGCCCTGGAGAAAGCAGCGTGGACAGTAGCCATTCGGACCGAGGCAGTGATGCGTCGTCACTGCTGGACGCCACCACAGGTGTGTGCCTGAATGCGTGCAGGTGCAGACCGCCTCTCTGCCGCAATCTCCCCAGCTGATCATGACCTAAGGGCTGGGGCTCCTGTGGCCCCTGGGCAAGGTAGGGGCTGGGTATGAGCTGCAGGGGCGGGTGCGGGACGCGGAACACTCCTGACTGCTGGTCCCCACAGCAGAGCTGGTGGCCTAGGACGCGCCCTGCCTCTCGTCGTGGCAGCCGGAGGCGCCTTCTCCTGCGTGCCCTGGACACAGTCGCCACCTGCTGGGAGAAGCTCTTCGCGCTTCGTGCCGCGGCCACCAGTAAATCCTAACGCCCCAGCGCTGCCCATGAGTGCTGGGATGCAGAGAACTGGGGTGGAGGATCTGATCGGAGACAGGACGGGCCTCTTTGGGAATGGGCTTTATTCGCGGTGTGCACGGCGACCTCGACCCTTCCACCGGTACAGCTCGCGCTCACGGAAGGACCCAGGACGTGGAGAAGCGAGCCCCACCCAGCCGTGGCCATCCTGATGTGGCCCACGTCCCATGAACCAAGCGAGACCTTAATAAATGGGGTGTTGCTGCGGGCCGACTCTTCCTCTCTTCCCCCGTGTGGCTGTGCGCCTGAGCCGCCTAGTCGGCTCCTAGACGGGGAGGAGGAGCAGCGAGGCAGCAGCGCTTGGCGCTTTGCTCTGCACCTGGGAGCGGGCGGGGCCGGTCTTCCCAGCCTCGGGCAACAGGGGGCGCGCTCTGGACACTGGTCAAGCGGGCCAAGTTCCCCCAACCTGTGCCTGCGGTTTTGAGGGGCGCTCTAAAGCTTCAAGCATCCATCCTAGTCCACTCCGGACGAAGCGGGAGGGTGGAAACGGAGGGGAGGGGAAGGCAGAGCGTGGTGAATTCAGAGCAAAACAACCGGATAAAGGAAACCGGCCTGAGGGGAAGCCGCCCTACCGCCCCGGCTGAGCTTGGCCAGGCCATTTCCTGCTGCCCCAGGGATGGCTACGATGTAGGTGGGGGAGGGGGCTCCAGAGAGTGACCAAGCCCCGTCCTTAGGCCAGCCGACTGGCCCCTAGTGTCTGCACAGTCTTGGCTGTCTGCCTTTCCCTTATCCTGGCCCCGTAGTTCTTGGTCCGGCACCTGACTTCACCTCCTGGGCGGGAGAGGTGGCCCGGGACTAACGAAGGTCTTGCCCATGCCTGTGGCACAGCCAAGCAAGAGACTCTGAAAGCCCTTGTTGGGACAATCTGCAAAACCAATAGCCAGCCACAAAGCTTATTCTGGGTCCTCTGGGGCATGTATGGTCTGCCTAACGGAACCAGTCCTGGGTCAAGGCATGTGGGCAGGGAGTGGGGCTTCCTGACCTCTGTGCATTCGGATTCCTTGAATGTTCAAACTTCTTACAGAGCTCCCAGGCCATGTCTGAGCACAGGCTGGGGACTCTACATCTCACTGCTGCATCTCCCGCATCATGGAGTGCTGTGCGAGGGACTGAAGGATGCCAAGAGGGACCCACATGCATGGACCTGTCCAGAGGCAGTGCAGGTGTGGAGTGTCTTCTACAAAGTAGGCGTGTGAAGGCCAGGCCTGCTTTGGCATGTGGATGGAAGGCAGAACAGGAAAGGGTGGTCCCGAGTCCTGGATGGACCTTCATCCTGAACTGTGGAACACTAGTGGGAGAACTGTAATACTGGAGCGAATGGTACTCCCTTCAAAGGCTCTGATAGGGTGTAGCCAAGAGTCCTGAATGAGGGAGAAAGGCCCAGTTTTGTGGGAACAGAAGGTTACGGCAGCAGAACCTGATGGGGGTGGAGAAGGTAGGGAGGAGCCCCAGGTAGGAAGTATCTGCAGGGTGCAACCTGGATACCCAGACGCTCTAGGGGTGGGGGAGTCCAGCCGTGTATTTGCTGGCAGCTTGCACTTGGACTTATCCAGCTCTAGGGCCCATGGGGAGAACATTTCTGTGCAAGAGGCATCTGGGCAAGGCCTCCTGGGTGTCCCATAGCTGCTGCCCACCCACAGTGTTCCCTTCTTTTCAGAGTCACTGGAGCTGGACAGTGGGTGGGCAGCAAAGCAGCCCCACCTCCTGAGACTGGGAAAGGATCCAACAAACCGCCTCCTCAAGGGAGCTGGAAGAGGGGCTGAGACCTCAAGCTTTGGAGACACTTTTTGGTGTCTGAGTCCTAGACCACAACCACTCAGTGGGGAGAGAAGCCCCTGCATTCCAGCCCGGTGTTTACTCTACAGAGCTTGTCTTGGAGGCCCCCTTCAACCCACTGCGTTCCTCCTGCAGGGGGGCAGGCAGGTGCAGAGTCGCACATAGAGGCTCAAAACTGTGGCGTCACAGAGATTAAGAGGGGACACCAGGTACCTGTACAGACCTGAGACACAGGTTCTTTAGACCTAGCACAGAGGTCCTAGCAGAGGATCTCTCATGCCTCTGTGGAGCTGCAGAAGACAGAGCATATCTTCCTCAACTATTCTCAGCACAGGCCAGCACACAAGTTGCTCCTGTCTGCTGGCTGGAACTGACCCAAAGCAGCCCAGAGAAGCAGTGGCACTTAGAGTCTCACAGAGATGGGGCTATGCATTATATTGCCCCAGCTCACAGTGGCCTTCTTGGGGCTCAGCTGTTTCCAGGGAGGTGGGGTCTGAGGGGACTGTGCCAGGGTGCCAGATGGACCCTGCAGGGCACTGGCTGGGTTGTGCAACTTCCTACAGCCCAGGAACCAACCCCCCATCCCATGTGTAGAGCTGAGAGGTGGAGCCCAGTAGACTTTGAAGGGAGCCTGGGTCCCATGACTAGACTGGGAGCCTTTGAAAGAACATCTGGAACTCCAGCGACAGGCTAATTTCTGGATTTGCAAGACCAAGTTAATCCTGACTTTGCCACTGTGGGTTCCCCACCTCCAAAGGGGGTGAGGACTACAGTCTCTCCTTGAGCAGGGATGGGACCTCTCCCTCATCCCTCCCCATCCCACCAAGGAGTATTGCTGAGTAGAGCAAGGGGAGGTTAAGAAAGATGGCAATGTCTTCAGAGTGCCCTGTCTGCATGCAGCCTCAGCTGGGTAGGCAGGGTGCAAGTGAGCAGAAAGCAGAGAAGCTGGGCAGCACTGTGGACAGGGAGGAAACACCTGCTCCCAGACCTGGAGGATGCATGACCTTGTGGGCCTGGGCCCTTTGCATGTGAACACAAGTGTGGAGTCTCAAGACCCACAGGTGTGCAAAGAGGTTGCCTGCCTCTGCTGTGGCTGGCCCGGAAACAAACAAGCCCCCCTCCTCAGGAAGCATATGCTCATTGGGAGGTACCAGGTGCTGAAGCCCATTGTCCCTGTTAGTGGCCTTCAGGATCCTGGGGGGCAGGGACAGCCCCCATCCTGCCCCCTCCCCAGGAAAAGAACCAACCTTGTAAACACAGAAACAAACACTCACCCCCATTAGGATCCAGAAGGAAGAGCAGGGAGGAGGTTGCGCCTGCCTTGGGAACTGAATACTTGTGGGGGAATGGAAGACCCTTGGGGGCCAGCATGGCAGCGGTGGGTGGGGGGCTCTGGGGAAGGTGGGATGTCCCAGGGTCACCTCCTAGCTATAGAAACAGGACTTCTGCTCTTGGCTATGGAGGGAACAACAGCCTGATCTGCCTTGGGGCACTCGCTGGCATCCCCTCAGTTGCTGTCTCTTTCCCCACAGGCCAGTTGGGACCACTACGGCTTGGGGAGAGGAGGCCAGGACTCCCTGTCCTTGGGCCACCCCTGGCGCCCCCCGCCCGGCAGGAGGCCAGGGGTTGGGGCTGCAGCCTGAGATAAGCGGCACTTCCTGCACTTGCTCCCAGCGCCAGCCCTCTGCTTCCTGTTTTCCCAGGCAGCCGGCAGGCAGTGATGGGGAAGACGGGGTGGAGTCCGGGGGGTGCAGTTGGTCGTGGGATACAGGGTGGGGTCAGAGGGGAAAGGGCATCTCTGAGACTGTGGTTGTGGGGGGAGGGAGCCAACTAGGCTGAGCATCCCTGAGGAGCAGCACGGTCCTCATTCCAGTTCAGTCCTTGCTGGGCCGGACAAACCTTCCCCCTATGCAGTGGGCTGAGCCTGGAGCAGAAGAGTAGAGAGCTTCGGTGCAGCGGCTGGTCAATCCCTGCAGAACAGACAGGCGCAGGGAAGTAGGCTCAGGCTGGTACCACTGCCACGCACTTTGGTTTGGGGTACCTGTTGGGACTTGGAGGTCAACCATTCCAGACCTAGGGATTTGGGGGATTTCTTCTTCTTTTTTTATTGGTGCATGTTAGATATACATAATGATAACATTCATCATAAGGAATTTGTGCCTGTACCTGATCTATTTTGCTGCTTTTTCCCATTCCTCTCCCCTCCCTTCAAGTCCTCTTACCCTCCTTGTTTACAAAAGTTTTGTTTCCATTTTTTCCTTTTATTCTTTTTTTGTTTTTCCTTGTCCTTTCCTTCCTTTTCCCCTTCCTCCCCCTTGTTCCCCTTCTGATTTAAACATTTTCTTCCTGGGTACAAGTTTCTTAACCTAGGTTTCAAACTTAGTCATTAGAAGTATAACTATGGGGGCTGGGGATTTAGCTCAGCGGCATAAGCGCTTGCCTTGCAAGCAGGCAGTTGTGAGTTCGATCCCTGGTACCGATAAAAAAAAGAAAAAGAAGTATAACTATGTATTATTAATAAAAATATATCCTTGCTGGGTATAGTTGCCTATTCCTGTAATCTCAGCACTTGGGAAACTGAGGCAGGAAGATCACAAGTTTGAGACCAGCTTAGACTATGTAGTGAGAACCTATCTTAAAACAAAACAAACAAAAACCTTGTATGTAAATGTTCACAACAGTATTTATGCACAATAGCTAAAAAAGCAGAAACAATATAAATGTCTGTCAATTTGGTGACTATATAAATGTGGCATATTCACACAAGGACAGAATATTACTCAGCTGCAAAGAGGAAGAACATTCTGATTCAGCCCGACACGTGTGACACCAAGGGAACCAGGCAACATGCAGTGTAGCAGAGGACATGCAGTGTGCCTCCTGACACAACTTTCTGCTTTGCTGGAGTGAGGCTGTCTGAAACTTTCCTGAGTATACTGTCACCCTGTGCACATGAATCTGTAATAAGGGTTAATTTTTATTTAGACATTGTAAGAAATTAATAATGAAATGTAAAAGAATGGCCAGGCATGATGGCACACACTTATAACCCCAGCACTAGGGAAGCTGAGGCAGGAAGATCCAAACTTCAGGAGGACTGCCTGGGCAAATTTGTAAGGCCTTGTCTCAAATTGAAAAACGTAAAAACGGCTGTGGCTGTGGCTCAGGAGCAACGTATGCGAAGCACTGAGTTCAATCTCCAGTATTAAAAAAAGATATTAAAACAGTATGCTATAAGGAAAAAACCTAGCATGCTACGAGAAGGGTACATGAATATTCTCTCTGACTTCTACACCGTGCTCACCCCTCTGGCTGACCTTGGGCCTTTGTTTTTTGGTACTGGGGATCAAACTCACAACCTTGTGCTTGCCAGGCAGGCACTTATGCCGCTGAGCTACATCCCTGGCTCCTAAAATATGGAAGTGTACTCTTTTTTTGGAACCCGGGATCAAACTCACAACCTCACACTTGCCAGGTAGGCACTTATGCTACTGAGCTAAATCCTCAGCTCCTGGCTTTGAATAACTGCAGTCTTGGAAAGTGCATCTGTGCCTGAGGAGACGAGGGTGATGAAGTGTCCAGAATAGCTGAGTCCACAATGGGAAACATTTATTTATTTGTTTGTTTATGTGAATGTGTATTTTGTTTTGTTTTTGAGATAGGGTTTTGCTATGTAGTTCAGGCTGGCCTTGACCTCACTAGTAGTCCAGGCTGACCTTGAATTTGTGGTGATCCTCCTGCCTCAGCCTTTGGAGTGCTGGGATTACAGGTGTGTGCCAACATGCCTATAACTGTTGTTTTGTTTTTGTCTTTGGTACTGGAGGTTGAACCTAGGACCTTCACACTTAGCGACATCTGTAGCTTTTTGTTTTTTATTTTTACATTTTTATTTATTTATTTATTTTTTTGGTGCTGGGGATCGAACTTAAGACCTCACACTTGCCAGACAAGCGCTTATCCTCAGCTCCTTGTTTTTTATTTTGAGACAGGGTCTTGTGACGTTTCCCAGGCTGAGCTTTAGAGTTGCAATTCTCCAGCCTCAGCCTCCTAGAATTGGGATTACTGGTATGTGCCAGCACATTCAGTTTAGTTTAGTATCTTTTGGGGCAGGAGGGAATGAGGAGTAATAGGGGTGGTGAAAATATTCTAGAACTAGTTAGCTATAATGGCTCCTACTTTTGTGAATATACTGAGACCACTGAACTGTGCACTTAGAATTGTGTGTGAGTTGTGAATAATGTAAGCTAAATGTCTGGCGTTTCCCAAGTGTTTGTCCATGAGAGTGGCAGGAGAACAGGGCTTGCGTCCTAAACACATGCCCTCCTTGCCTGCCCAGCATGGCTCTGGTACAAGGCATTTCTGTGGGATGTGCAGCTCTGTTGGCATCTTGAGTGTCTGCTGCAAAGAGAGGTGTGCCCTTCCTGTTCTGCCCCAATTTCCCAGGCTGGGTCCAGAGCACGGGATGGGAGCAAGGGGAAAGAGACAGACTGGACCAAGACAGAGAGGTAGCCCTGGCCCGTGGTCCTGCCCAGTATAATAGCTCATTGGTGGGTGTGAAGGACATCCTCCCAGCCAGACACTGGGAAGTGGGTTCCACAAGGAGACTCAGTGCTTAGCAGCTGCTAGTGAGCCGCTAGGATCAGCTGCCCTTACTGGGCATCAATCCTGCTCATGTTCCCGTCTGACCCTGCTTGTCTCAGAGCTGGGGACTTGCTTGAGATTAGAACTTGCTCCAAACTCAGCCCCTACTAACCTGCTTTGACACTTTGGGGAAGGGTTTCTAGGGAGCACAGTGCTCTGTCCTCTCTTTACACAGAGGGGACACACTGCCACCCCAAACTACCTTTTAAACCTGCCCCCTTAACCTAAAGGAGTGGGTGGTCCTGAAATGGTGATTGTATCCTGGCCACGTGAACATCACTCTGTCCAGTGTCTCTGTGCATGTTCAGAGTATGGCTGGGGTGGGTGCCTATGGGATGCTCCAGCCCAAGCAGGAATGACTCAGGGCTGTGCAGATGGTCACTTCCCTCTCCTGCCCTCCCTAGCTTGTCTGTCCCTCTCCTCTTCTGTGTGCTGTCCTCTGTCTCTGAGTTTTCTGTGCTCTGATGCAGATGAGGGAAGGGAGCCCAGGTGCAGGACACCTGCAAAACAGCCCCTGCTTGTTCACTCTCCCCTACACTGAGCACTCAGCCCATATGCATGGATACTTACTCTTCTAGCTCCGGGCTCGGCCCATATGCATGGATACTAGCTCTGGGCTCGCTGCAGATCTGTCACACACAGTCACCCACACAGATGGTCATGCTGGGAATTTTATGCCCATACTCAGGCTATGTCTACACACCTCACATGGGAGACAGCTCTGGGTGACTCTCAGCTGGACACCCGAGAGAGTATGTCATGGGGTTACTGGGTAGAACAGGCCCTTCCCAGGACCCAGGACCCTTTTCCAGCTGTGAAGATCTGCTGGGCTTGGGGAATAGTGTGCAGAGTTCATTTCTGAGGTGAGGCTCCAGCCTTCCCTGGATACACAGGGGATTTGAGGATCAAAAAGGTGGTGTAGAAAGAGGAGTTCAGTCTCCTGGAAGGGGTCCCAGGCTAGTGTGATGGTGCTCTGGAGCTGGGGAACTCGAGATGAAACCTGGGCCTCCTGCTTGGTCACTGATCCTGTGTCCTCACTGAGTTAAGGCTGGACATGTCGCTCTGAGGAGCAGAGAGGATAGGGTGCAGTGCAGTTCTTCCTGGGAGATGCCCAGTGGGGGCCAGAATGCTGTCTGCACACAGATGTCAGGCTGTAGGCCTTGGGGATCCTGATCATCATGCAGGATGTAAGGGGACTACTAAGTGACAGATGACAGGATGCAGGCCCAGAGAGTGGGTACCAAGTCTGTGCTAGGTCCTAGAAGGATGGCAAAAAGGATGCTGGTTCACACTGGGAGTCAGGCTCCCTCCCGAGACAAAGAGGACAGTGGTCCAGGGCTCCATGTGGCAGTGCCCCTTGGTCCAACAACCACAGACACAGGTGTGCAGAGCAGCCCAGGCATTTTATTGTGGCCCTGGCTCCTCCTTTACAGCATTGTTATCCCTTGTATTTAAAAAAAAGCTCTTGCTACACGGATGCCGGTAGATCACTGGAACATTTAAAAGTTTAATTAAAAATTAAATATATTGTATTATGTATATAAAAAAGACAAGGTAAAAAATACAACCTGGTTCAAGAAAATACACTGCAAGAAAAGGCTTAGGTGCTTCCAATAGTTAACCCTGGCAGGGCCAGCCAGCAGGTCCCAGGCCTGAGCTTCCTGGAACAGCCCGACCCCCCCCCCCCAATACGGGCAAGGCCCGGGGAGGTAGGGCCGCCCGCAGCAAGGGAGCGTCCAGGCTGTTGCGTGGCGACACTTACATCTGCGAGAGGGAAGCGGGAGTGCGGCAGGGCCGCAAGGTCTAGGTGGAGCAGGAGGAAGCGCTGGGGCAGGGGCGGCACCTAGCCCGAGATGCAGGCGCTGTAGTACACAGCGCTGCTGGCGTCGGACAGCGCCGAGATCAAGCTGCTTTCCTCTGGGCAGGACATGGCGCGCGGGCCCAGTTTAGCCAGCGCCACGTGGTATGGGAGAGCGGGGGCATCGGGCCGAGTCCGGCTGCAGTTAAGGTACTGGTCGAACTCGGTGAGGTCCACGTCGGCCCACAGGTCGGCGGCGACGGGGCCCAGGGGCTCAGCGCCCTCCAGCGGTGGCGCTTCGGGAGGCGGCGAGAGCGGGCTGGGGTAGGGGCCTGGCGCGCCCAGGGCCCCGTAGTAGAGGCCAGCGAGCGGCGCTGCAGGCGGCGCGGTCCTGAGCGCCTCGGGCAGGGGCGCCCCGTAACAGCCGCCGGGGTCCCGGGCCAACTCGGGGGCATAGGTCGCGCGGAAGGCTCGCAGCGCGCAGTCCTCGGGCGCCGCGGGAGGCGGGAAGAAGGCCGCCTCTCCAGGCTCCAGGCCGTCCAGCGGCGAGCGCTCGGGCGTGGGCAGCCCCAAGCCGTCGAGCTCGGCGCCCAGCGGGGGCAGCTCGCGGAAGGCATGGGCTGGGCCAGGCGCCGCGGGGTACGACTCGGATGGTGGTGCCAGGCTAGGGAGCAGGAGGCCCGGCTCTAGGCGCCGAGCTTTGCGCGCCTGCTTCTTGCGGCGGGGCCGGTACTTGTAGTTGGGGTGGTCGCGCAGGTGCTGCACGCGCAGCCGCTCGGCCTCCTCCACGAAGGGCCGCTTCTCTGCCGCGTTCAGTTCCTTCCACGCTTTGCCTGCGGGCGACAGACATGGTCAAGGGGGCAGCCGTCGGGAGCGCACGCACGGTCGGGCCGACCCTGGTGAGCTCCGAGCGGCGAGAGCGCGGCACTGCCTCTCCGCCCTCCCTGGGAGCGCCCTCCCCGGGAGCACCTCCCTGACCACCCCAGCTGCTCACCCAGCATCTTGCTGAGCACCGCGTTGTGCAGGTCTGGATTCTGCTGGGCCAGCCTCTTGCGCTCGTCCTTTGCCCATACCATGAAGGCGTTCATGGGCCGCCGGATGCGCAGCTCGTCGGCCGTCGGGCGCTCACTGCGGCCGGCCGGGTTAAGGCCATAGCGCCCTGGCTCGGGACTGCGCGGCGGGCTGCGCGGCGGGCTGGGCGGGGAGGCAGGCGCGGCTGGGGCGGTGGGGAGGCCGCGCGGCTCAGCGACGGCCCTGGATCCCGGGGCCCATGCACAGTCGCGGCGGGCGGGCGGGTCGTCCTGTGTGCCGTAGCCGGGCGGCGATCTCTGCATTCCAGCTGGGCGCGGCCTGGGCGGAACGCTGCGCGAGAGCGCGGAGGACAGCTGTTAGCACTGCGAGCCGAGGCCGAGGCCGGGCACAGAAGGTGGACTAGCGGCGGCGGCAGCGGCGGCGGCGATAGAGATGGTGTTGGCTAGCGGCGGGCGGGCGCCCAGATATAGCGGCTGGGGGCCAATCGGCGACGGGGCGGGTTGGTCCTGGTGGGGCGGGGCGGGCCGCGCTGCCCCCTCCCCGGGGGTTCCCTTTCTTCTGGAGCCGCACCGGATCCCGCCGAGGCCTCCTGGGCACAGACCCTCTTTCCCTCCCCACAGTCTCCGAAGGAGGGACTCCCGAATGGGAAGGGGCCTCTGATCCGGATGGGGGCTGGGAAGTAGTCCTTGTGGGGCCTGCAGGCTGTCAGAACAGAGCTGCCGTCCCACCCACGGCGTTGGACCCCCGCAGTATCTGGGGGAGGTGACAGGGCTCTGAGTTTGCATTGGGAAGAGGAAGACTTATTTTAGTACCAAACTCTTGGGAGGCCACCTTCGTTCACACCGCACCCAAGGAAAAGCGCCTTGGTTTGAGAAGTGATATGCTGCCCAAATTCTCCATGCACAGGCAGAACTCTGGGTGCTGGGTCTTCCAACACCTCTCCCAAACTTACCCTTGAGATTAGAGAGGGTGGGCTTCTCCTTTCCTCAACCATTTTCAATCCAATTTTCCTGCAAGGAGACAACAGTCTGGGGTTGCAGGGTTCCTGGCCTCATGCCTGCTGCCTAATGCCCTGAATGTTGAGACTCCTTCAAACCTCGAAACCTCCTTCAAACCTCCTTCAAACCCATCTCTGGTTCCCTTGCCCATCCATACCAAGCCATCACAGCAGGAAAGAGCAAAGAGACTGGAGGAGTGAGGCCAGGGAAGGCAAGGAGCACTGGTGTCTTTGCTGAAGGTCCCTTGCTTGGGCAGTCAACCAAGGTATGTCGGAGGGGGGAAGCCTTCAGCCTTTTATTTCCCCCTTGTCCACTGTATCCAATCAGGAAGGAATCTGAGTTCCAGAAGCTGCTGGCTGTCCCCCAGGAGGTCCTTCTGCCCCCACCAAATGTGGTTCTGTTAGGGGAAGATCACCCACTGGGTGAGGTCAGGACCCCGCCCCATCCTGCATGCATTAACAGCCTGGAAACTCTACAGTCTCCCTCACTGTGTCAGGGTACCCACCCCTGAGCCTTGGGAGTGCCACGGTTTGAGGCCACAGGTAGCAGTGGCCACAGGCCTCTATGGCCTCTGGTGGCCCTCTAGATCACACATAGTCCCTCCTTAGGAATGGGATGGGTCCTGCGGCAGCCCACTGGCTGTCCCTAAACTATACCCCTCTTCCTAGGGCTGGGTTTCCTTTGTCCCCACATACCTTCCTTACATTCTGGGCAGGGTCTTAACAGGAAAGGGCTAGGTTTTCCAGGCTCATGTCCAGATTTCCCCAGGTCTGTCACTGGCACTAGCAGCTAATACGTGGATGCTGAGCAGGGCTGGTGGGCTGGAGCATTTGAAGTACGGGGGTAGAGTCTCCAGTTTTTCTTAGGAGGCTGACAATAGTGGTGAGCAACAAGGCGAATGAGCTCACAGGCTTCTGCCAGTGGTGCCAGCTCTGTTCAGCCAGCTTTCAGTGTGATGGATGGAGCCACCACACTAGGAGCCAGAGGGGAAATAATAGGAATTCGAACTGTGAAGAAGCCTATAGATAGAGAGTAGGTCTAGAGGGCCACACTACCCTGATCTCCCCAGCAGCACTAGCAGTGGCTGCCTGTGTCCCATAGCATCATGGGTAAGTGCAGTATAGGGTCTTCAAGGCTAGGGTTGCCCAGAGTAGGTCACAGGAGATTCTGGGAAAGGGCCTCTAGGGCCCTTTGCAGCAGCACCCCTACACACACACATGCACACGCACACACAGTCACACACACACATACAAATACACACACACTGGGCTGAATGTGGAGCTTTCTGGAGCCTCTAGCTGGTGCCCAGAGTCATTCTAGAGCTCTGACCATGCTATCCCAGCAGTGCTGGCATTTTACTTCCCCTCTCCTCCCGTGGCTCCTCCTGCAGCCACCTCCTCTGGCACCAGCTAGTGCCCTTCTTCTTGGCTGAGCTGTGATACTCAAGCATCTGCTACTGTCATGTCCTGTGAACCTGGCTGGGCAGGAGGAGCCTGCTGGTGTACTCCTTTACTCTGCAGGTTCACTGCCTGGCAGGGTTGACAATGGGATCCCCTTCCCACTGTCCAGATGGGACAACAATAGGGGGAAGCTGCAGTCAGTGGGGTGGCTCTGACCCTGGAGCCTCAGGGCTGAAGGGACTCCCTAGGGTTGTCTAAGGCCTGGGGTGGGTGTGGCCAGCTGTGCTGGGGGAGGGGCATCAGACATGAATGTCTGCATGTCTGTGTGTGTGGTCTGCATGTGTGCCTGTCTCTGTACATCTGCCTGGATGTGGGGTGAGGTGGACCTAGTGCTGGAGGCTGCCCAGGGCCTTGGGAACCAAACAAGTTGGATCCTCCCATAAGGAGATGGGGGTTGGAGGCTGAGGATCAGGGGTCCTACTCAGAGAAGTATGGCTATCAGCACTGAAAGGAAGGGGCCCCAAGGCCTCTCTGGCCACTGAGCTGAGATCCAGGTCTGTCTAAAGATGGGGCCAGTTCATGAGTCTAGGGTCAGTTCTCTGCCCTTGGAATTCCTCAGCCAGACCTGACCCAGGCTGGCAGCTACCCACTCCCAGAAGAGGTGGAGTAGAGGAGCAACCTTCTGCGGTAACTATGGGGCTGACCTGCCTGTTGCTTACACACTGTCCTCCCTGCTATCTACCTATTTCTGTCCTTCAGCCTGGACTGGACCCCAGCCTCTAGGGGAGGCCTGCAACGGCTTCTGGGTAGTTCGCCTTGGTGGATCTGGGTGGGGGCTTGGCTTGGCTCAGCTCCGGGCTGGGGGTGGTGGGACCTCCCAGGCGCTGCCTGGGCACAGACCTCCCAGGCTCCCACCAGCCAAGCCTTGGCGGCTGCAGGAGCTACAAGGCTGGGACCAATTACAGAATCCTGCAGGGCCTGGACTCTCCCGTTCCCAAAGAGTAGGGTGGGTGGGGGGAGTCTCCATCAGCTGCAGCTCCAGGTGGAGGAGCACTCTAGTCTCCTGAGACCTTGGCTTCAGAGCTAGCTGCCTGGTTCAGACACTACCTCAGCTTCAGGCCTGGGTGGGGGAAGTGAGTCTGGGCCTTCCTTGATCTCCTGCCTTCTATGCCTTCAGGAAGGACACTGGATACCTCAGAACCAGGTGGCCCTGCATGTCTCTCAGCCAGTGACAGATCTGATCCTGGCCCGAGTACAGTCTTCAGGCCCTGTGTCCTTTTACTATCAGTTCTCCTGTGTACTGGGCTTCTGATTCTGCCTGTAATCTTGGAATAGTGGACAGGCATACATGGTATAAGGGTGTGAACAGGCATGAATGGGTACAATGATTTCAGATGTTAGGTTTGGGGGCTGGGAATTTAGCTCAGCGGCATAAGTACCTGCCTTGCAAGCAGGCGGTCGTGAGTTCGATCCCCGGTACCGATAAAAATGAAAAAGACAAAAAAAAAAAAAAAAAAAAAAAAAAAAGATGTTAGGTTTGGGATCAGGGTTCACATGTACAATTCACTGCAGTCGTGTGGACCCAAGAGTACTGTGTAGAAAAAGATGTTGGTTTGGGCTCTGATTTGGGGGAGGGGATGAGGTACAGCTATGCAGAGGCTTGCTGATGGGGGTCCTCCTGTGCAATGATAGTGGGGCTGTTTTAGGTCAAGGGTGATGCTGAGGGTGTTGCATGGGGTCACATCTACCCTGGGTGTTCAAGGGCCAGCAAGACTGGGCAGAGATTCCCTGAGTTGAGGGCATAGGATTGTAAGGTGGAGAACAGATCTGTGTTTGTGACTGCAGCGTGACTGTGAATGATGGCATATGTGCTGTGGCCAGTACGTGCAGAGAAGTGGCTTCTGGGGGTACCCCTGGGGCCCAGATAATATTTCAAAGGCTGTTTTCTGATTCAGGGTATTGTGCTATCCATGCGGACTTGGGACCCTGAATGTTTATCACAGGCTGTGCTTATTTCTAGGAGCACTGAAGGAGAGCTGGGTGTCAGGAATGCTGGGTGAGTCCTGGGGCTACTGTGCAGCCTTTTGGGGGTGTTCTGCTCTTGGTGGGTGGATGGCTGTGTGTGCCCTCCAGCATTGCTGCCTGTTGTGGACCTCTCCAGCAATGCTGCTCTGCGGGGGCTCCATGGGAATCAGGCTGGGGAGCTGGGTTGCTCTGGGTTTCCATAGCAACAACAGGGCGGGACCAGGAAACAGCAGTTCAGGAAGGAAGGCTAGCCTCAAAGCCTGAGGAGCCGAGGGCCAGCCCTGGCTGAGCAGGCGCCGTTCTGTCCGGTCACCCCAGCTGCTGGCCCCTGGTCCTGACCAAGTTCTGTTGGCCCCACCCCTGGCTCCGCCCCCTGCCTCCAGCCGATCAGCCATTGTGTGGTATGTCTGTCTTTCTTTGGTTCTCAGTGTCCAGGGTATGGGCCTGTGGGTATCTCTGGTCTTGTAGTCGTGTGTGTCCTAGTCCCCTTGGTGGCTCTGTGGAGGCATCAGTCGGCTCTTTCTGTGCTTGTACTATGTGTTGGACATTTCAGCTCTCTGAGCCCCAGGTGGACAGTGCCTGTCCCTGCCAAAGTGCCCTGGGCTACCCTGGCCCCTCCCTCCCCTACCAGACTAGGAAACAAGGAGAAAGGGAAGGTAGGGACAAAGAGGAAAAACACACCCAGGTGTTCAGTTGCCCACCTGCCAGTTGGGCACTCAAGGTGGGACACCCAACACTGCCTGGCTTTAGTGATGAGTGGCTCTGGTCAGAAACTAGCTGAGGCTGCCAGCTGGACAAGGAATCACCCACCCTCCTTGCTCAGACAGGAAGCATCCATTTATCCATCCATAACCTCCATGAGTTATTGAGCACCTGCTGGTCCAGACTCTGGTTTAGGAGGTAGGGATTTGGCAGAAAAGAAACCCAAATCCCTGCTGTAGGAAGAGATATAGAGGGAAAGAAAATCAATACATCCTCAAATAAGTCAGGATTTGGGGTTCAGGTGTGGGAGAGAACTGTATATAGGGTGCTCCTGGTCTGTTTTTTAATGAGGTGACTTTTGAGCCACACCTGAAGGACATGGGAAGACATGGAAGGAGACTGCAGGTGTGTGGAAGGGCAGGGAGAGTGGTGTGAGGGGCAGCTGAGGCTCAGGGGCCAGAGCACCGCAGGATCCGGAGTGTGCCTGTGTGTGTGTGTAGATACTGGGATGGAACCCAGGACCTTCACACTGAGCTACATGCCCAGCCCTAGTCCTCTTTTTTAAAATTTTGAGATAGGGTCTTGCTGAGTTGCTAACTGGCCCAAGCTGGGTCTGAACTTTTGACTCTCGCCTCAGGCTCCCAGAGGGAAAATTTACAGGAGGGTAGGTCTGGGAATTTTTTGTTGCAGTGCTGGGGATTGAATCCAGAACCTGTTGTATGCTCAGCAAGCACTGAGCTACACCCTGAACCCCTTGAGAAGATTTGAGCACAGTGTGTGATCTGATTTGGCTTTCCTCAGCCTCAGCACAAGCTGAGGGACCAACTGGATGCTGCTCCTGCAGGGGACTGGCCATGGCTGTCCTCAGGAGATTCCCTGGTCTCTGCAGGAAGGTAGGGCAAGGCAGGCTGCCTTAGGATTCCTGGGTTGGCTGCCCTCTGAGTCAGCCCTCAAAACTTCACCCATACCCTCTGACCCTGTGGCTGCCTAGGGCTCCCTGGGGAGGAGGAGGGTGGAGTGGCCGCCAGGCTGTCGGGCTGGGGCTGGCAGGGCAGGAGGGCAGCATTTCTGGGAATTGTGTGGGGGAAGCACATTGTTAGAGCAAGCCTACAGCAGGCTGCCACTGGCCTCTGGGGATGCCTCCTGGCTTCCCTAATGCTGTCTCTGGGGGAGGGAGCTGGGCCTGAGCCAAGCTGTGGGCTGGCGGGGGACTTTCCAAGAGACACTACCCTGAGCCCATGGCTCTTCCCGTTCTGCAGGCTGTGATACTGATGTCCAGAGAGCTAGGAGCAACAGGAGGAAAGCAAGCAACAGCAGGGCCAGCTTTCATGCCCTGCCCATACATAGCAGGCCACTCTCACTGCATCTGTGGCCACTGCCTGTCTAACCGCCAAGAGAGGCCTGGATGGAGCTCTGTGATGGGAACCTGCAGCCCCCAAAGTGGCCGGGAGGGCCTGATGGATTGGGGCTGCACCCTCCTATGGCAGGGAGGTAGAGACCTGAGGAGGTACAGGATGCTCCCCACTGCATGGTGATGGGAAATGGGGGGTGGTTCGTGTGAGTTTGGCAGCATGAGCCTTCCCATCACTGCCCTGCTTCAGCTAGAGGGGAAGCACAGATGCTAGTCACTGGGGTCATGGCCAGCTTTGGGGTGGGGGCTGGGGGACACAAATAGAAAAATAAATGGCCTCAGCTTCCGCTGTTTCCTGGACTCAGGATGAAGGAGGGGAGGGCTTTGGGCCAAAGGTACAGCTGGCCCAGTGGGGTTGACCCTGGGGGTATCCCCAGATCCTGTGAAGGCCCTAGTAGCCCCTTCAGACTTCCAAGCCAGGGCTTCTCCCCCAGAGTCCCCAGGACAGGGCCATGCTACTCACTAAGGGCTACTGAGGGTGGATTCACAGCTTTTCTCTTGACAAGACACCCAATATAGAAAATCCCCTATAGGAGGATGCAAAAACCCTAAGGAAAATTGGGGCTTAGCTCCAGGAAAGGACAAAGCAATGGGGCTTCTGCTGGTGTTCCTGGTAGAGTGAACCACGAAGGAGCCCCTGCCTGTGCATCCTGGGAGCTGGAGGAGGCCCCTAGTAGCAGCCAGGCAGAAAGTGAGTGAAGTGCCCCTTGGGAACTCTGGCCCCTACCTGCATGCCAGGCTGTTGTGCTCCCAGTCTCTAGGGACTAGGGGGTGTGGGGAAGGATGTAGGTACCCTCCTTTCCATTGCACAGGGCCCAGGTAGAGTTTGGGGAGTGGGCAGTGCCCTGTTTCCATGGTCACCCCAAGGTAGGATCCACTGGTTCTCATATGTTGTCACTTGTGGTACAGTGCTTGAGCACAGGAGGATTTGGAGGCCTTGGCAGTTATCTGGGAAAGCTCTGCAGGGGAGGAAGTTCAGAAAGGTTCAGGTCCCGGGTGGGGTCTGAGGTGGGTGTGACCGCTCGGAGCTAGTGCCCCCAAGGTCAGGAGCTCATACGGAGTCTGAGAATGAACATCTCTAAGACTGGGGGAGTGTTGGAGCTGGTTGGCGCTACTACCCTGCAAGCGAGGGCTCTTCGGCACTGACCATATTCTCACTCCAGTGGCTTCATGGTCACAGCTAGGCAGTATAGTCCCTGCTGGGAACCCACAGAACTTCCCTAGGGATGGGAAGCCAAGTTTAAGCAGGTCTGTGGCTCACTATTGCCATCTACAGGCTGCTTCTCCTCATATCACTGGGGCCAGTCAGCCTCAGCCCGCTCCAGCCTGCCTCCTCTGCCACCCTACCAGTCCAGTCCACTCCCTTCCTCCCATTGGCTTGCTCCTGTTTTGGGTCAGGCCACCACACCATTGCCCACACCTGTCTGACCTGGATGCACTGAGCAGTCCCACAGGCTGTGCTGACTCAGGATACCACCCCGATGCAGGAAGCCTGCTAGCCTCCTAGTCTTCATTCTTAGGGGGTCACAGGAGCCTGGTTTCTCTTTGTCGGCAGCCTTTGTGGGCTTTAGAGGAGACCCAGTGAGACACGGGAGCCTCCTTACAAACTGTCTCTTGTGGGCCTCCCAGGGCCCTGAGAAGAAAGGGCCACCTGGCATCTTATGGAGGAGGAAAATGGACACAGGGCAGATGGTCCTGGACTTCTCCTCTAGCTTTGCAAAGCAGAGTCCTGGTTCTCAGCTGGTGGAATCTGCTTGACTACCTGTCTCAGGGCACAGATTACCTTGGGTTGGCACAGATTGGCAAGGAGGAAACCAGTTATACCAACACACATATGAAGTGTTCTCCAAAATTTCTGATTCATTGATTGATTGAGTCAGTGATTAAGTTTTTGGGTTTTTGATACAGCGTCTCACTATGTTGTCCAGGGTGGCCTTGGATTCACTATGTAGGCCAGGCTGGCCTCAAATCCACAGTGATTCTCCTGCCTCTGCCTCTTCAGTTCTGGGATCACAGGCATGCACCATCACACCTGGCTCTCAAATTTGTAATTCAGAAGTCAAGCCTTGCTTTACTAACTCAATGAAAAACAATATGTGTTACTGGGTGGAATGCCCACTGCACTTGCCAGCAGCAGGGGACATGTAGGGTGAAGTGATGCTCAAAGCATCAGCCCCAGGCCCTGCTGACCACACATGGTACATGGGCTTGTTCATAAGTGAAGGTGGGATACATTTCTGCGGGCTGTCTGGAAAGATGTTGTCTTCTTTCCCATCAGGGTGAGACCCTGTACTTCTCTCCCACTTTGCCCAGGCCTGTCCCTGCTGTGCATCTGCTTCTCTCCCTTCCCTTAGCCTAGCTAATATTGTTGGCTGGAGACATACTCCAGGCTACCCTGCCACCTTTCCACATGGGAATACCATCTGCCCTGGAATGCTACCTCTAGCTTTCCTGAGCCTCTTGACTTGGTCTTAGTATACCCTGGTTGGCCTGTGGCCCATACCTCTGATCTACACAAAGGATAGAATCCCAGAACTCTGCTTGATGGGGTCCTGCCAACACAGGATTTCAGGAGTCACCACACAAGGGCATCAGGCATTCCTCACGAAGTTTTCTTACCATAAACTTGAGTCATCTGGAGGAAAATGGGTGCACCTTAGGGCCACAATGCTAAATGAAGTAAATCAGACACACAAACTTACATATTACATGGCTTTACTTGTATGAAAAAAATCAATATATAAAAAGAGTGCGAAATAAAGGTGATAATTGGAAAAGAGAGAAAAAATTACTGTAATTCAGCATGGACAGTATATCTAATAGTGTGCCTTGATTTAGTATAATTGTTTTATGTGCTTGATTTTTATTTGCCAGTTAGCCTGGTTGTTAATTTGTATGTATAATTAACTTTATGAGGACTTATAAATGAATCTGATTGTGGCAGAAAAAATGGGGGTATGGAAGGGAAGGGGAAAAAGAACTTCGATGTGTTAGGTACATGTACCAATTCCCTACAATGAATATAATCAATATTTACTGCAAACATGTACTAATATAAATTAAAAAAATAAATTACAGCATCAAAACCAAAGAAAAGTCCCTTTACTGAGTCAGCCTCTCCAGGTGGGATCAAGGGTGAGTCCTCAGACTGTACTTCCTCTCCCCTAAACTTTGTGCTTGTCTTTCTTGTGCAGAAATGAGATGGGTCCCTGAAGATGACCTGCTCAAGGTACATGCCCATGCTACTTCCTGGGGATCTTTGAACTTCTCTGGCAAAAAGGCAATAGCTCCAGGAGATCCACCTTAGCCTTCCCTCCTTTCTGATGCTCATTCTTAGTGTCACATGGGCACATATCTGCCTTCCCAGTTCTGGGTTTATACTGCTTGCATTAGCAGAGTGGCTTTTCTGTGGCTAGCCTCTGCCAGCACTGTAGGATCCCCAGTTCTGGTGGTCAGAGGTGTGCACCAGCTTGGGGGTTGGTTCCCTTCAGGTGATCTTTGAATCAACTCAACCCTGAGAAGTCTGTGTCTCCTATGGCTGGCTGGGCAGCTTTCATAGACATGACCTTGTGGATGATTGAGAGCCAGCTCAAAACCACATATTCTGGGGTTCCTACTGGTTTTTGCACAAGGGCAGCCCTTCAGTGGGTTCTGCAGGACTCATGTCAGCTCCTTTGTGTGGTTATCATCCATCAAGAGGGTGGTTCAAAGAGCAAGGTTTTAGCCTTCCTTGATGCTCCTGGTGTATCTGATCTGTGGAGCCTGTACTCATGTCTAGCAGAGGCTTCTGACCCAAGGACTTGCTCCACTGGGCAGGACTAAGATATGATCCCAGCTCACAGATAAGAGGAGAATCGAGTATATGTAGAGCTGGGGGAGCTGAGTTCATTCATCATGGGGCCACTGCCTTGGAAAAACTTTGTCACTTAAAAGGAATTCCATGCTGGCTCCTGGGAAATTCAGTACATCTAATTAACAACATAGCCCAAGGCATTGTCAGACCAGGCCTTTTAGACATTTCACCTGCCATCGCACCTCATGAGTTTTGGCCTGCATTTTAAATTTTAATAATGGAGGGAACACTAGAGATACTATTTCTTTGACCTGTACCCTCCCCTAGAATTGTGTTCCCTCCAGCACGCCCCAGTATCTGCATCACTGAGGAGGTGCCAGGCCATAATGGGTGGGGATTACTGGCCCTTATGTCTCTCCCTCTCCCTGGCCTGGGCATCCCTTTGAGCGAGAGCAGTCTGGCTCTTCCGTCCGGCGCCTGGTCGGTAGTGTGAAGTAGCTCACGTCATGCTGACCGAGGTACTGTAATATGGGCTTTGTGGTCCCCACGGGGAACTGTCCAGTGCAGAGCCTGGGATTTGTACACTGCAGCCACAGGCTCCCCACGGGAGGCAGGGCCTGGGTCATGCAGCCTCCCAGGGTCCAGAGTCTCTTCTTCATCCCCGCACAGATCCCTCGCCCCTGCCGTTGTGTGTAGCAGGCATCTTGACAGGGCATTTGTGCGCAAAAGGATGGCAGGCACAGTGGGAAGGGCCTGCGCGGGATTGAAAGGGCTGAAAGGTAGGATTCGGGACCTCGGGCCTTGGCTCTGAGTGCCGCTCGGTGCCTTGGCGGCCAGTGGCGAGAGTGGGCAGAGTTCACGCCGTACCCCATCCCCACTCCCTCCACTCAGCCTACCGAAAGCGCTCCCGTCCTGCGTGTCCTCCCGCGCGGTTGTGGCCCAGGTCTCGGGCGGTAGCCGATTTGAAACTACCCTTCCCAGGAGGCCGCGCGCGCCGCGGGGACGTCTGGGCGTTGTGGTCCGCGGGGGCGGGGACTGCGTCCCAGGATACAGCGCGCAGTCGCGGGTGGGGGTTTGGGCTGAGGGTCTCGGCGGCTGCGGCGGTGGCGGCGGTGGCTGCTGGGGTCTGCTGGGGCTGCCGGCAGGACGGGCGCGGGCGCTGCCCCAGAGGCGATGATGGGCAAGGAGGAGGAGATCGCGCGAATCGCCCGGAGGCTGGACAAAATGGTGACCAGGAAGAGCGCGGTGAGGGGCGCGGGCCGCCAGGACCCCGGGACCCCCGCCCTGACGACACCTGGTTGAGCCCGCTGCGGGCAGGACAAGACCCCGCCCGCCTGAGACCCCCCGTCCGGGGCCCGTCCTCCACTTGTCCTGGGACTGCCGCTCTGGACTGAACGCCTTGCGGGCTGAGACCCACAGGCCGCCCGCCCGCTCGCCTGCCCGGCCCCTCACGGGCGCCTCGGTCTGCCGAGGCGGGCCCCTTTCTCCCTGTCTGTCCCTACCCTACAAGAACCAGGTTTCTCTAATAAATTGTTTCCCTCCCTTAGCCAGACGCCAGTCAGTGTGGGCAGATGGTAGAGAGGCTGGGAAGAGCCTGTGGCCTTTATGATGAGACCCCAGAGGAGGGCCAGCGCTGGCTGGCCTCTTGCTTGCCTGGCCTGAGCCTTGGAGGTAGTGTGTGAAACCTCCCAGGTCTAGCCCAGCTTTTGACATTGAAAACCTTGCATCCTTTCGGGAAGCATCCTTAGCGGATGGTGTCTGCATCCTTCTCAGTCTGGGGAGGGAGGGATTAGAGAGGTAGCAGACAAGCTCCTAAACATGACTCACGCTCCCAGGAGATGGTTCCTGGGGGAGCTCAAGATGGTGAGGAGCTGAGTCACTGGCTTTTGAGGCCTGCACAGTTTTCCCAGGGCTGTGCTTGCAGTAGGGGTGTGAGGGGTGGTGGCTTTTTTTTCAGTGTGCAGGGTTGAATCTGGACTGGTGTTGGGTGGGGTTCTTGCCCAGGGTCTACAATGGGGGAGGAGCAGGCTCTCATACATTCATTGTGCTAGAAGTAATCCATGGCTGCTGTCACAGTCAGGGTGGCAGTGACCTGCTGGTCAGAGAAGAGAGGTGTTTCCTGGAAGGTGACAAAACCAAACTACAAATGCCTGAGGTGGGTGGGAGGCAGAAATGGGTTGGGAACCCAACTAGGGGTTGGTGGAAGCACATGCATAGGTGCCCAGGAGGGAGAGGCAATAGATTGTGGATGAAGCCTGCAGAGGCCCAGAGGGCTTACAGCACCTAAGAGGCTTCTTGAGGAGATGGGGCATGTTTAGGGGTTTTTGTGCATTTGGTCATAAGTCAGTCCACTCTAGAAGCTTTGTTATCCAGTGCTCAGGATCTGCTATTGACAAGGGTGCCATTAGCTCTGGGAACCATCTGACCTCAAGTCACCTCATGCTTGGTTTCTCCACAGCCCAGGGACCTGTTGGGGGTGAGGAGGAACTGCAGCCTGTGCAGAGAAGCCACACAGATTGTGTGTGTGTGTGTGTGTGTGTGTGTGTGTGTGTGTGTGTGTGTGATTCCTAACTCCTCCCACAGTCTTGGCTTTGGGACATGCGGAGAAGAAACGTGGGTTGTCAGCCCCCTCCTGGCGTGAGGAGACATTCATATGAACACATTAGGACCTGGAAGGCAGCAGGGCAGGGCAGAGTTGGGTACTGCATGAGCCCATCCAGTTCTAAGTAGCAAAAGGTTCAAACAAAGTTTTGGAGGATGTAAGCCTTGTCAGTGTGCTGGAAGGGGTGTTGGGGGCAGAGTGGCTTCAGGGTCAGGGTCCTGGAGTGGTCACTTGGCACTCCCAAGAATATTGAATGCTGCCTGCTATGGAGGGATGCCCTGTCTGCATAGCCTCTGAGGACTTTGAGGAATGATCTTGGACAAGGCAGAGGAGAGCAGGGAGGTCTGTTGCAACATCCAGAGGAGTGCTGGCAGCTGTGGGCATTGGCGCCAGCTGTGGCTGTGGCCTGAGTGGAGGTACCCTGAGGGTACCCTCACTGGCAGTGAGCACTCTAGAGAGCAGCTGTCCTACTCACTGGGCATGGATGGAATGGAGCCAGTGACCTGGGCTACCCCTTCACTTGAGTGTACTGGGGAGGGGATGTGTCATTTTTGCTTTTGTGGTATGGTCAGTGATACAGTGAGGTCAAGAAAGTTGTTACCATGGATTTAGTTTGGGAAGCCATGTGAACTGTGAGGAGCAAGATTGCAACTTGCTTTCTTTCTCTTGACTGGGGTGGGGGCTGTAAGGGACCCTGTAATGGTATGAGAACAAGTGTACACAACCCTGGGTGTTACAGGTAGAGGCATTGTGGTTTCCTTCAGATGTCCAAATTATTACTGCCTTTTGTCCCTCCAGTGGGCAGTAGGAGGTAGAGTAGTCTAGTGGGTTGAAAGCCCTTTATGAAGGTCCCTTCTCCTTCCAGGAGGGAGCCATGGACCTGCTGCGGGAGCTGAAGGCCATGCCTATCACACTGCACCTGCTCCAGGTAGGCCCTGCCTGCCCCCACCTGGGACAGCTCCGGGGACAGCAGCACCAAGGCCATTTGGCAGGGACTTGGTGGCTCTCCTCAACAAGGGCTTGATTGTCATATACACTTGTTCTGAGGAGAGGGTTCTTGCCTTTTTCTGGTACTTGATGAGTCTGGGAGGGGATGCTTGAGATCTCATCCTGTCCTGGGTTTCAAGTGGGACAGTTTTACCTCTCCTGGGCCAGTCCTTAACCCCTATCCTGTGGGTCTAGCCCCTGGGGTGGGTCCCCACCACCTCCCAACCCAGGCTGCTTGCCTTACAGTCTACCCGTGTTGGGATGTCTGTCAACGCCCTGCGGAAGCAGAGCTCGGACGAGGAGGTCATTGCACTGGCCAAGTCTCTCATCAAGTCCTGGAAGAAGCTCCTGGGTGCGGGTCAGGCCTTGAGGGCTGAGTGGTAGGGCAGTGGACACCCCAAAACTGGGGCCTTTGCTGGTTGGCACAGCATATGGTGCTAGTCATACTAACCAGAGCCTGGCCTCCTGGGAGTGGGCCCTGACAAATTTGGGTCAGGAAGTGCTCAACTTGGGGCTAGAAGTGGATGGATGGATGGGTGCCCATCAGCACCAGCAGGCAGAGGTGGCTGGGGAAGCATGACTGGTGGGGCGAGGACACATGCTTGAGAAGATTTCATGTAGAACCGGGAGAAAAAGTTGAGACCAGGAGTTGGGCTGCAGTAGCAAAGTTTAGGGTTAGAAGCCCTGGGGGGAAGGGGTCAAATGGTGGGAGGTCACACAGGAGAATGGCAAGGCTAGTATGCACAGGAAATGCATGGGGATAGGAGAGAAGGAGGAGCTAAGGCTGCCACACAGGGAAGGGCTGCTTGGGCAGCAGTGGCCCTCCTCCTGGGTACAAGGCAACTGGTTGCAAATAACTGGGTGAAATAGGAAGGCATCTCTACATCTAGACTCTGGAAAAAGGTCCCAGCCTCTCCTGGGCTTTATCTTTGGGGACAGTCACAGGACCTTTCTTTCCAGTGGTGTGACTGTTGAGATGCAAGTGGCACATGCATATTCTGGTTCCCTGTGAAGGCCTGAGCAGACTCCATCCAAGGCTGGGCTTGGGAGAATCCTTATGGGGCACATCCTTGGTCTTCTTGGGGGTGGGGCAAGGAGAGCAGGCCCCATGGGTAGCCTGCTTGGGTGAGTATGTGAGGGGCAGGGTCTGATGTGCTTGGTGGGGCGGAGGGAGATCCATTGGCAGGAGGGCCTCGTGGCCAGGTACCTTGCACATTGGGAGCAGGGGTGGTGGGGATGGTGGTCTGGCTGAGGCTAGGCCTTGGTGGTGGTTGATTCCCTGCTTGCCTTTCCCTGACCAATCTGTCCTGTTTTCTGACAATGCAGATGTTTCTGATGCTAAAACCAGGGATCGAGGGAGGGACACAGCTCTACCCACATCATCCACAAAGAATGCCTCAGAGGCCATGGATCCCAGGTAGCACACCTTAAGGAGGGACTCATTCTCCTGTCTACTGGTCTCCATTTCTCTCAGCTGATGTCCATGTACCTGGATGCTTCTCTGAGGGAAGGCTTTCTCCAGAGGGCTGTACACTGGGTTGGTCAAGCTCATAGCTGAGGTCCCTTGCCCCAACCATCTGAGATAGGTGGCTGTGTCTGCTCTGTTGTCAGGGAAACCTCTGCCATCTTCCTCAGCAGAGAGCTGCTGCAGGTCCTGAGCTGGCCTAAGGAAACCATCTGCTACTTCTGTGACCCTACCCTGAATGTGGTTCTCACTGGCCTGCTCTGCCTGTGTCCCTTAGCCTGGTGCCACTCAAGGATGAGCGAGAGCCTTCCCACGAAGTCTTCCCTAGAACCAAAGGCAGCTGCCTGGCTCCTGTTCCTGCCCTGCATGTACTTGTGACCAACACTGCCCAGGAAGGGTGTTTCAGGGGCCTGTTGCTGTGCAGACAAGGGTGTTCCTGGTGACAAGCGGTGGTGGAGAGGCCACTTTGCTCTTGAGCAAACTGGGTAGTAGTGGCTGGACCCAGGCCAGCACAGGCTGAGCTCTGGACTCCTGGTGTGGATGTGCAGCATGAGCGTGAGCTCATCTTAACACTGCATGGATGATTTAATGCTCCAGGAAGCCATCTGCTTCTGCTGATGTCCACACAGCCGTGAGGGAGCCTACCCTGTTCATTTGGGGAATGAGCCCTGATCCACTGGGGATCCCATGACCCACTTTCCCCTCTGACTAGGTAGGCAGATCTCATGGGCACACTGGGCTTGAATAAAGATGAGCAAGGTTGCCAGCTATGCTGGGATCTGTCGGGGTGGAGCAAGTGGGCAGTGGAGGTAGGGAAGGTGCTCTGGGGATGGCATCTTCCTGGGGTGCATGTGACCTTGCATCTGAGCCCAGTGTTCCATCTCTCTCTTCAGCCGTAAGAGGCTGGAGCTGCCCAGAATGCCATCTACCCCAAGGATCACCACGTTTCCTCCAGTGCCCATTACTTGTAATGCTGTACGTAACAAGTGCCGTGAGATGCTAACCACTGCCCTGCAAACAGACCGTGAGTGCCCGGCAGCCCTGGCCTGACATGCCCTGCTGTACAGGACAGGATAGCACAGCACAGCCCTCCCTCCACTGCAGAGGCTGCCTTCCCTAGCTATTGTCCTGTCCCTGGGAGTTGGCAGGGGCTCCGTGGGGTATCAAGAGCACCTGGATCCTGGCAGTGCCTCTGGGGATGTGCATGTCCCCTTTAGCCACCAGAGTGCTGTCCAGGCAAAGGAGTGGCGGGCAGGGAAGTCGATGGCATGGTAGTGAGGGCTCTCTCTTGCAGACGACCATGTGGCAGTCGGTGCAGACTGTGAGCGTCTGTCGGCTCAGATCGAGGAGTATATCCTTTGTGCAGGGCTTCCTGTATGGGGCCAAGGCTTCAGTTGGAGTCTGGAGGCCATTAGGCGTGGTTCCCTCTGGTGGCTGCTGGACACCACTCTGAGGTGCTAGTACCCTCTGTTGACTATATCCTGCCTGTTCCTAGGGTGTGCATGTGTGAGGGGGTTGTCTTGCCCTTGCAGGGTTCTCCCTGGATGGGCCAAGGGGTCAGTTTTGTTTGCCGGCAAGGCCTGGGCCTCAACCGGGATTGGGTGAGGGGACCAACCACGTATGGCTAGGTAGAGTATTCCCCACACAGCCCCCTTCAGGGTGGGTACAGCTTAATGGCCTCAGATGGGTCCTTAAACACCTGCACGCATCTTCCGGGATGTGGGAAACACAGACATGAAGTACAAGAACCGAGTGAGGAGCCGCATCTCCAACCTGAAGGATGCCAAGAACCCAGAGCTTCGGAGAAACGTACTGTGTGGCACCATAACTCCCCAGCAGATTGCGGTGATGACATCGGAGGTGAGCCCCACAGGAGGCACTGGGGGCTGCTTCTGTGGAGCTGCAGGCTAAGCACTTGGCCCCTCACCCCAGGAGATGGCAAGTGATGAGCTAAAGGAGATCCGTAAGGCCATGACCAAGGAGGCCATCCGGGAGCACCAGATGGCCCGCACAGGTGGCACACAGACAGACTTGTTCACCTGTGGCAAGTGCAGAAAGAAGAACTGCACCTACACACAGGCAAGTTGTCCTGGGCCCACGTCTTCAAGGAACCTGCAGCCCTGTCCCCACCTGTCTGGCCAGGAGCCACCCTTATACCTGCAAATGGTGCCAGAACAGGTGTCCCAAGTTGGTATTTCCTTGAGCCTTAGATCACCCCCTCACCCAGGACCCCAAATGCTCCATAAACACATGTGGAGTGGTGGACTCTACATGTTCTGGGGTGCTAAAGCTGGGGGCTTGACCCTACCTAACACAGATGAAGCATCAATGTAGTTAGGGTGGTGTGTGCTGCCCAACAATGACCTGCTGTGGAAGTGGATGCTGAAGTGGTCGGGGTAGACAGTGTGGATCCCATGGGACAGTAAGGGCTTAGGAAGCGTAGAGCGGCTGTTTCTACCAAGAGTGGTCTTGGTCCTTATGAAGAGGCACAGCCAGTGGAATCCCTGCTGTCTTCCCTTCACGGGGCCTCCTCTGTTGGGGTTTTTTCCTACCCTTACCTTCAGCCTGGGCTCTGCATAGACTGTTCAGGCTCATACAAGGATCTGCATTGCGTCCACTACTCTACAGGGCCAACACTGGAAGGTTGGGTCACGAAGCAGCCTGGTATCAGATCCTCCACTGAGGTTCAGGAGTTAGCAATGCAGTACTCCCTAGAGGGACTGACCCTTGTGCCATACCCTCCCGCAGGTGCAGACCCGCAGTTCTGATGAGCCCATGACCACCTTCGTTGTCTGCAATGAGTGTGGCAACCGCTGGAAGGTAGGTGGTGGGCTCAGGCTTACTCCTCCCAGCCCATTTTGTGGAGTTGGCTCCGGGAGCTCCTATGGTGTGGACCAGGGCTAACCATGTCTAGCTATCCTCTGGAGAGTCTGGAGGATAGCGAGTGGGGACCCCAACCTTGGGTGACTGCCTTGCCTCTGCCCTGGGTCAAGCAGGGCCACAGTTGGATGCCTCTCCCTGCCTTCCTGCAGTTCTGCTAAGCCCTCATGCAGATGTGCTGCAGCCCCAGGCCAGGCCATGGCCTCCCACATTCCTGGACACAGCTTCTCTGGAGACCCCCAGAAGGTGGCATGCTTGCTCTAGCTTGCCTGCTTGGCATGTACTGTTCTGCCTTTTGCCCTTATTATTAAATGTTTTGTTTTGCCATCTTGCCATCCTTGGACCTTACTCCTGGTGGGTTGAACACAGCCGGGCCCCATCCTGTGTCTGGTCCATCCTTTGTGCCATGAACACTGTTCCTTTGGGGCCAGGCAATACTTGGCTTAGCCCTGGAGGGACAACACTGAGAGATCACCTGTGCTGTGATTCTAGGATACTGGAGTGTGTGTGTCTCCAGTGTGCATGTGCACATGTGGGGAAAGCCCAACCAAACTGGATGTGTTGGCAGGTTGTGCAGATGCAGACAATCTAGGGTCTTTTGAGGGATCTCTGGGGTACTCTGCCCAGCATCTACCAACACTCTGTAGGCTCAGGCAGGTAAGGTCCTAGTCTTTCCTTTGGGATAGGTTGCCCCATTCTGCCTCTGCTCAGGGAGTAGGGGATCACAGGCCCCTGGGCTAATTTCAGCTTCAAGCCCTAGAAATACAGGGGAATGTGTGGTGAGTGCTTGTCTGATGGGGCATGTAAGATGAAAATGGCACTGTGCCCAGCTCCAGGGGGCCCTGGGGAAGGCCATCTGATTAGTGCCCTGTCCCAGTTAGCACCCTCCCCCCAGGAAACCTTTGATACCTAAACCAGCACTTTTTTTTTCTTTGCAATAGGATCTCACTATGAGGTTCAGGCTGGCTTTTAACTCACAATATAGCCCATGCTGGCCTTGAACTTGCAGTGATCTTTTTCCTGCCTTGGTGTCCTGAGTGCTGGGTTTACAGATGTGCTACCATGAGTGACTTTGTGGCAACACTTGTGGTCGCATCTCAAGCCTTCACAAGGGCTGGCCCCATCTCAAGGCACAGAAGATCGAGACCATGTTACAGAGCCCATTGGGCAGGCTGAGCAGTCATCCACTGGTGCCACTGTTGGGCAGGGCTTGGGTGGAGCCATGGGTGGGGGCAAAATCCAGGATGATTCCTCTTTTCTATTCAACCCAAAACAGAGAGACTCCCACTTTGAAAACATCTTCGAGGATAAGACATCCTGTTTTTAGGGTGCAGAGAAATGGAAAAAGTATTTCTCTCCCCAACTCCTGCCACCCCGCCCCCCCTCGCACTTTCTGATAAAACATACAGCAAGGATATGTTCCCAGGTTAAAGTTCATGAACATATAAAATATAATCAGGTCTTGTCACTTGAGCCTGGTTCTGAGGTTCCACATCTGGTTCTGAGGTGCAGATAGCTCAAGCAGAAGTGTGTCCTGCTACAAAGCAGATGGTATAGAGGCTTTGTTCTCCCCTAGAAGCATGTCCTGGGTACACGGCTGCCTGAAGGAGGCCTCACCAAAGCTGTGGGCCCAACATTCATCCTCGGGCTGTCGGGAGCACTAGGCTGGCAACCTTAGGCTGCTGAGGGGCTTCCACCTCACCTTGTGGCTAGAGCTCCTGTTGGACCAGGGAAGACAGAGCCAGGGGGTGTGGTACTTTCCGCTGGGACTGGGTCTGGTTTCAGGGTTTGGGACCCCCATCCAGCCAGGTGAAGCCGTGGGTGTGAGCCTGGACTCTGCCCACGTGGAGGTGGAGTAGCTGCCACGGCAGTGGCCTAGGCCTCAGAGGACTGTGGGCGCTCTGGAAGCAGCAGGGCGCGGTAGGTGGGGGAGCTAAGGAAGCGAGGGTAGGAGTCCCGGTGCATAAGAGTGTAGATTTGCAGCTGTGCGTCATCAAACGTGTGTGCAGATGGCTCCTGCATCTTCCTGTTGATGCCCTCCCGTACTCGGGAGTCTAGGCTCACCTGTGGATTGGGGCACTGAGGTCAGGAGATGCCCACCCCAAGCCAGCCCTATCCATCCCAGAAACCAGCGCACCTCCTTTGGGGAGAGAATAGACACATAGTCTTCATAGATGAGTCGTGCCTTCTCATCCACCACATGCTGGTTGGCCTCAGTCTTCAGCTCCTCACAGGCCAGCCAGAAGAGCATGTTCTCCTCGCTGTACTCTGTGCGCAGGAACGCTCGGAACACGCTGCGGCCTGCAGGGCTGTGCATCAGCTTGTCGAAGGACTGCGCCCAGCTCTGCACCTCCTCGGGGCTCGGTGGGGTACTGCCGGCATTGGGACAGGGGTGTCACATCTGGTTCTACCCCACTCCCCAACACATGTACACACTGAGGCCAGACTCACCACACTTCACAGCTGGGGAGGGGCTGCAGCTTGCTATCATGGGAGGCCTTCCACGTTCGTCGCCGCTCTTGGTTCCTGGCAGCAGAGGAAGGCGGGGATGCCCTGGGTATCTGGGCACCATCAGGGCCACACGTGGGACATGACACATGGGAGCCTGGCACACGTGTCAACCTGCTACAGGAAGGGTAGCCCCTGGAGCTGGCCCTTTTCATACCTCTTTGTTTTCGTACAGAATCTGCTTATCAAGGTTGGTGTCCTGATCAAAATAGTCACACCACAGCATGGCAATCTTCCTCCTATTTCTGGGGCTCTGCAGGCTCCTAACATCCTTCCCCTTCCCTGGCCTACTGTGTAAGACCCTGTTCCTCAGCCTGTCCCTGGTTTGTCCCCTTCTTAAAGAGGCCACTAACAGACCCATAGTACTACGGCCAGTATCAGCAACAGGACTTGCTGGTTGGTGCAGGCCAGAGCCCCCATTCTGTGTTTATACCTGTCCAGTCCTAGATCCTGATCCCTGGCTGTCTTTAAGAGAATCTTCTTTCCTTTCGGGACTGAATCCATGTTTGCCTGACCAATCCATCAGGATGAAAGTCTAAACAGAACTGTTTGTGCCACACCCTGTTTCTTCTTAGTAGCAACATAAGCCTTGTTTCATACCCTGCTGCTCTCCATCACTATATTTTGCCTGGGGTCTGGCCTCAGCTGCTTACTGTTTAGCAGATCCCTTGGGGTTCATAAGCCTATGTAGGACCAGGCCTGTCTGTTAAGGCCCTGTCAGCTTCCTTATGCTCCTAGGAAATCCTAGAAGCCACATACCTAGAAGCCCTATTCCTGTCTCACACAGATGCCCAGAGACACAAGCATCTTTGTGCCCCAGAGCCATATGCTCCCTCATTCGGGTCTCTGCTTAATGTGCCCCCCACTGCACAGTCTGGAACATCTGGACCGGCTTCGTGTTGCACCATAGTTCTCCCAGCAGTTCCTGGACAGGATGGTGCTGAGCTGGCAGGGGCAGTTTGCCCACTAGTGATGCCCCGAAAGCCATCAGAAGGCTCAGGGAGCAGGGCCCTGGGTCTGCCACCCACACCGAGCAAGCTGTGTTCCCAGGCTCACATACCAGGAGCAGCTGCAACAGCAGCACCAGCATAAGCAGCATGGGTTGCGGCTGGGGGCCGGCCGGGGAGCCGTGTCATGGCTGGACATTGAGGGGGGCCTGTCCGCCTCTTCTGGCCCTGTGTGCTGGGGAAGATGGGGCTGCCTCAGCCTTCAGGCCTGAGCCCACTAGACATACAGGGCTGTTGCAGCCCTACACGCATGACTCTTTAGCCCCCAAGTATCTGGGGTCTCTCAGTAACTCTTCCCCAGCTTGCCCACCCCATTGCCTAGGAAGAGGGGAGGAGGGAGTGGCATACCTGCTTCTCAGCCTCATTCGGGGTGGGCATGGGTGGGTGGAAGGGCCTGCCCAGGCTCCGTGGTGCCAGCTCCAGGACCCTCACCACAGCTTGGGGGTCTGGGGAGAGGAGCCAAGGTTTTGCCTGAGCATTTGGCTGACCCCTATGCAAGGAGTCCTGAGAGGACAGCTCCATCTCTGAGCCCTGCACCTAATTCCCAGCCTTAGCCTGTGCCTGTGGGCCACAGGGGGGTGGGAGGCTGTGTGCGTGGGGTGGGGTGACTGAGTTAGAAAGGAGTGAGCTGTGGCAGCTTCTAGCCCCTCATTTCAGGCTGGGTCCCCAGTGAAGCCCCCAGAAGTAGTTCTGGGATACCTCCAACTGCTCAGTGCCAGGGAAGCCGGAAGCCCAAGTTCCTCTTTCTTGGTTTCCTGTGCCTATCCCCTCCCAAGGAGCTGGGGCTACTATTCCCCCCGCCCTGAGTTTGGCAGGGGCAGAGGGCAAGACCAACAGCAAGGACTTGATTTGGGACAGGACTTCCTGAAGGTGCAGGGAGTGGAGCGTGCACTGAGGAGCAGGGACTCGTGCCTGGGAACAAGGTTTTCACGGTCTCAGGTGCTTTTGTACATGTTACCCTAGCTTCTCTCCCTCCATGCTCAAGACCTTCAGGCTGGAGAAATCCTGAGGCCTGCTGGCCAGGTAAAGGGGCAGCATGATGGGCCCAGGAAGGGAATGAACCCGTGGCTGATCCTTCCCAAATAGTGTTTGGGCGGGGCTGGGGGTTTAGCTCAGCGGCATAAGCGCCTGCCTTGCAAGCAGGCAGTTGTGAGTTCGATCCCTGGTACCGATAAAAAATGAAAAAGACAAAAAAAAAAAAAAAAAAAAAAAAAAAAGTTGACAGTGGGGTCCTCAGGAAGCAAACATATCCCCTGCTAAGCCCAGAAATCCTAAGGACATTGGAGCAAGGTGGCCATTCAGTGCCAGGTGGCAATTCTGAATGCCCCCCCCCCACTTGTACCCTCCTTTGTCCAGGACTACAGAGATGTAGTCCTCTATTTCCCTTTCCAGTGGCAAAGGGCTTGACAACTGGTCCCTTATTCGCTTTTCACCTTCCTGCTGTGTCCCGCCCCCCTCACCATCCCTGTGGCCTTTGATCCTGTTCCCACCCCAGCTGACCTCTCTAGGCCTCTGAGAACTGAGTGGTGGTGAGGGGATTATGCTGAGATCTGCACACCTGGGGCACCTGAGGGCTTCAGTACCTCACCACCTGCACCTCTTCTTCTGAGACCATAGGTTCCCTGCAAGCAGCTGGGAACACACAAGTAGCTGGAGCTGGGCTTTCTCTGAGGGTCAAGTTTTTAGAGAAAGGTAGGGGCACAGCAACCTGAGGTCTGGTGGAGTACCCAGAGCCTATTCTTCCTCCTCACACATCCCACCTGCACCGTATTTCAGAGCCTTCATCTCCAAGCAGTTATGCATTGGAGACAGAGATGATGTGGGGTTCTGTGAGCCGCCCAATTTGGTCAAGAGATGGGAAACAGCGTCTTCCTTCCAGCTGAAGGTCCTGGACCTGGCTCTCTGCACCTTCTCAGGGCAGTGGGGCCACCCATGGCCCAGGTTGGCTTGGGCTGCCTCCTTTCCCCAGGACACAGGGTCTGCATTAAGGTCCTCCTACCCCTTGAGAGGCTCCTCCCATTCCTCAAACCCGCCTGCTTTGGTCCTCAGGCTGGGAGAGGCCAGACAGGCAGCAAATCTGATCTCTGGGGACAGAGGTTCCTTGGGGAGTGGCTGCTGTTCTGCTCCACAGAAGGAAAAAGAACGTCCTGGAGTCTGCTCAGTCCAAAAAAAGAATTTAAAAATGTGACAATCCCAGAAAAAATGTCATAACCTTTACAAGGGGTGTCGACAGAGGGGCTCTATTCCCATTGCAATCCTACCCATACCTTTCCTACTGCAACCCCAGCGGGCGCCTTCCTGGACAGGCCAACCCCCCCTAATCCTGCTGACTCCCACCTGAGACGCCAGGGGAACCCCGTCCCCCGCTTTGTCGAGTCTCTGCTGGTAGAGTTATCTGGAGGGGCCTCTTTCACCCGCAGGGCCCCTACCTCATGCTTCTCACGCTCCCATTCCTCCCTTAGGGAACTCGCCACGGTGCCCCACTCACCAGCGACCCAAAGGCCAGGCGGGGCGGGGGCGGGAGGGCCGGGTTCGGGCAGGGCCCCACCCTGGCTGCCGAAGGGGCGTGCTCTGCAGCAGCAGGGACTCAGATCAGACTGCAGGAGATAGTCCTGCGGCGTTCTGGAGGGAGGCTGGGCCCCGGGGTGCAGCGCCTCCCCTGCAGTTCTAAGGCCCAGTGAGTTTCAGACCCCACGGGGTGGGGTGGAGCGGAGGCAGTCCGGAGTCCCGCCTGGCCCCTTCCCACTAGGCTCTGGGGGTAGGAGACGCGGAAACCTGGGTTCTTCCGGCCCCCATGTTTGAGCAATCACTTCCCCAGGCTTTGAGCTACAGAAAAAGGGGAACCCTGCTGCGCGTCCCCTCCCCCACGCAGGGGGGGGCGGGCTCGGTCCCACCACGGCCCAGGTCCACGTGGGCCCGTGGCCGCAGTCCTGGGAACGGATCCCCGCGCCAGCTCCAAGGCTCCCGCGCTCCGGCCGCTTTCCGTCCGCGGTCCCGCGTTGCGCGCGCACTCACCCTCGCACTCCCGCGCCGCCGCCTCCGCCCGCGCGCTCCGAGGTCCGGCCCGCCGCCGAGGAGGGGGCGCGGGCGCAGTGCGCAGGCGCCTGGGTGGCACTTCCCCAAAGCCAGGGGCCGGGACTTCCTCGGGCCGGGAGGCGCCCGCCCGCCCCGCCCCGCCCCGCCCCGTGCAGCCCCGCCCCGCGCCGCTAGGCGCCCCAGCCTTAGCCGGGTGTCCCGCGGGATGAGGCATTGGGAGGGCGGCATGAGCTCGGTCCCACGCTGCTCAGCAGGCCTTTCTAGCCTTTCCATCTCGCGACAGGCGACCCTAGGCAAGAGGAGGTTGGGCAAGAGGAGGTCCCTGGAAAGGAGTGACCGGTGGTCTTTGCCTTTCTGAACCTCAATGGTAAAGTGGGGTTAAGAGCCTGTCGTCCTGCTGTGGGGCTTGTGCAGAAGGAAGGAAGGATGCAGTGGTGCAGGTGCTTGCAGCCCCTCATGCCCGGTGTCTGTGAGGTGGAGGTGGCGGTGGGAGGGCTGACTCATTCCCTGTCCCTCATCCTGCCAAAGATGGCCTAAAGTGTAAAGCCTCTCTGTCCCTTTGACGCACTCTCTTGTCCTGGTGTGGGTTATTGGTTATCCCAGCAGGCTTTGGCCCAGTGTCCAGTGGCCCTGAGTTTGCTCTGGATCGGGTCTGGGGAGTCTGTCATCGCCCTGAGCTGTGTGGCTTCTCTCCCATCACTGCTTGAAGCCTGGCAAATTCAGGGGTCACTGGCTGCTCACAAAATGCCTTCCAACTGCACAAGCCATATGTGCACATATTGAGCCAAGCTCAGAAAGGTAAAGTGGAGATTTTGCACAAGCTTGTCATTCATTCTAGAACTATCAGAGGTCCCTGTGTGTCAGAGAGTGAGTCAGAAAGACCAGCCTGGAGCTGACTGATAGGGGCTGGGTGGGATGGGGGCACTGACAGGAAATGGACCAGGGCAGACTTGAGAGCAAGTCACTTCCATTGTGCTCATGTATTGTAATCCCAATATTGTAACCCCTTAAAATACTGTTATCCAAATATTGTAATCCTTTTCCCATTCACCTTGCAGTCCTGGAAGTTATATTTGTAATTCCATTGATATGTTATTGGACCTTCAGTGAATTAATTGCAATCTACTATCTCTGGTACAATCCGCAGTGAGAATACAGGCACTAAGACATATGTATAGTTACGGGCACCCAAGGGGTCCTAAATCCATTCCAGGTAAGGATACATGGGACAAAGGCCTTGATCCAAAGCTCATCCAGAATTTATAATCTTGTGAAGAAGGGAGTGGTTTGAGGATGAGTGACAGTAAGGTGGGAATTATGTGAGTAATGTGAGCTGAACTGGCCAGGTGTTGAGAAAGGCACCTCTGCGATATGCAGGGAGAGGGCTATGCAGAAAGACCAACCTGCGTAACTCGACCGGGATAGCATAGAAATGAATTCAGGAGGCTGTTGCTTTAGTTTCTGATTTGTAAACTTTTGTGCCTTGGGAAATCATTGTCCCTTATTTTGAGGCTTGTCCCCAGTTGACATTCCTGGAGCTGTTTGGCTCTGCCATCCCGCTGTGCTCAACCGCTTACAGGGAGCGCAATGCAAGGAAACAGGAAATTGTCAACTGGTATTAAGGATTACATACCAGTAGCTCAGCTAGTCTTATTTGCATTGCTTAAATCCAGGTGAAGATAGAAAGAAATGGCATAGCCAGCTCTGTGTACATATCAGTGCATGGAGATAGGGCTCACTTTAACTACAAAGCTGAAGCAATTGTTCTGCATTCAAGGAAAGGTGCCCAGGTTGTCTCCCACACTCACGGGACTTGGCTGAGCAAAAAGCAGTTGGGCAAGGGCCTGGGGACTACCAGGATGCCTGAAATACCAAGCGCCCAGGGACTTGGTCACAGAACCTTCTGGGTGCCACACTTATAGGACAAAGATGGGGAGAGGCCAGGGAACCCATCTGGGCAGGAGGCAGTTACTTTAGTCCAGGTAAGTCTTGAAAGGCAAATATGGGTGAGGACAGGGAGGTCCTGCAGAGATAGGCCAGCACTCAGACACTGGCACACTATCAGACCCATCCTGCTCTGCAAGCACAGTGGGGAATTGCAGATGTGGGCAGCTGGCAGTGGGTGAGGGTCAGCATGTTTTTCTCCCCCTTGAGGCCTCACTCTCCCTGGCACCTCAGGCCTGCTGTCTATCTCTTGCAACAGAGCATTCTCCAAATTCAAGGAGAAACACATGAAGGCTGGTGGGTAGTGATGGGGGATGGGACTTGAACCAGGAGCATCAGGTAACTCCAGAACACAAGCCCCCAGTCCTCGTTAGGCCCCATTTATTAGGCTGTACCTCACAGGCTTTGTTTTTCTGCAGGGCTTTCTGTAGGCAGAAGCATCTTCCTCTGCTATTTCATCTAGTGTCTTGTGCAGGGCCAGCTCTTCCTTGACATGGGGATCAAGGGGTAGCTTGTGCCAGTTATGGTGGAGAATTGTCTCAGGCCATTGCCTTTGTGGCCTTTAAGGGTGTTGGGCTTTGTTTTCTACCTCTGTCCTCATGTGTTCCTGTGGAGTACTGACCGAATGGGGCACTGCTCTGACACCCTGGAACAGCTCTGTGACTCCCATTTTAAAGCTGAAGAAATGCAAGGCCAGATAAATAAGTGATTGTATCAGTCAGAGTTTACTAGAGAAACAGATATGACACAATGTATACAAATGTATAAGAAATTATAAGATTGGCTTATGATGGTCAGTCACAAAGTTAGATGAGGAAGTGTGCAGAGTGTGTTTGCATTCTGGAGGTTGAAGGGTCCTGCTCAAGGGCTGGAGCTTACTGCAGTGTCCCATGCAAGTCTGTATCAGGAGGCTGAGGGGTCTGCCACAATACTGGAGAATCTATGATGATGGAGGCTGAAGACTCTACAAAGATGGCTGAAGAGTCCAGGCAGAAGCCAAATAGTCTGTGTCAGAAGCCAGAAAGTACGTGCAAACTGAATGTGAAGACTGGAGCTCCTCAGCAGAACCAGCAATCAGTCCCTCCTCTTTTGCCTTTTATTGTATGCAAGCTATTCCACTGGGTGGGTGTCACGCTTATTCTGTCTCTGTGCCTCCTCTTGCACAGGCTGAGGATGTGACAAATTAAGGACCCTGGCCCCCTGCTTAATCACCTAGTTAAACTTCTGACCTTCTCAAATTGACACAGTGAACAATATCCTAGAATGATAACAGGCTTGTCCTCCACACCCCAGGATGTAGAGTTGCAGAACCCCTTAGTTAAGCTAGACTTCTCAAGTTGACACAGTGTATAAACCATTACATATTATGAGATAACTATGTCAATGTACTAAGATAAAATTCTTCTAGGCACTCTGTAAAAACTCAAGAGACAAAATCTTGGGGTCCAGGGGCTGGGGATTTAGCTCAGTGGCATAAGCGCCTGCCTTGCAAACACACAGTTGTGAGTTTGATCCTTAGTACTGATAAAAAAAAAATGTTGGGGTCCAGATAGTAGGGAGCTTGGCAGGAAAAGGCCAGAAGGCCCACATCAGGGTGTGAGTGGCCACTACTCATGGACAAAGAGATTGCTCCCCTTCCTTGTCTGCCCCTGCCAAGCCCACCATCTTTCTGTTCCCTCATCTTACCTTGGTCTCCCTGAGACTCTGCTCCCCCTGCTGCTGCTGACTTGTGATCTCTGCACAGTCTGGGCTTGGATCAAGGCCAAGGCAGCAACAGGTAGCAAAGGGCAAAGGGTCAGGAACAGGTGGTACAGGGCTGGCTGAGGGGACAGAGGTTCTGAGGATGGGGTGGCCACCAGTCAATGTATTCCTTGCTGGACCCCAGCTCTGATTTCATTCTTTTCCTCCAGATTTGTCCTCTGCTCCAGTCAGAGCCAGTGGGAATCTCACGGGGTAGGGGTTTTGTGTTTCCCTGTAGTTCTCAGCTGGGTAGCCTTCTAGACAGGGGCTGGGAGGAAGGGCCAAGAGGAGCCCCAGATTCTGCACAGAACCCACCATGGAGAAAGAGTAAGAGTTACCCCCAAACCAGGGGCTTTCTGAAGTCCAGAGATCTTGTGGGACTCAAGCCTGTTTGTCAGAATGGGATGAGGTAGTTTACTTCCTCTGTGTGTGTGTGTGTGTGTGTGTGTGTGTGTGTGTGTGCACAGACAGTGTGCTGAATGGGCTACAGGAGGTTATTTTTCAGGATGAAAAGAAGACCAATGGCGCAGCTCGTGCCTGGTGAACACGAGGTTCTGATTCCCAGTACCAAAAAGCAAAGCAAAACAAAACAAAACAAAAGACCAGAGGGTGGGTCTTCTGTCTGGGCACAGGTGGTGACCCTCTAAAGGCCAGCTTTGGTTTGCGTAGTCACCCTGTCTCTCAGAGTGCCACCATGTGCCTGGGATGAATGACTTTCTGGGCTTCTGGGGTATTGATGTGAAGCAGACTCCCCTGCCTTCTGCCCTGGGGGCCTCTGGTGGGCTGTCCAGGACACCAGACACCGGACAGGAGCAGGCAGGGATTGGGGGACGGGCTGTCTGCACCCCACTAGTTTGACAACCATCCCCTCACATCTTACTTTGTCGAAGAGCTCCACTGCTGTCCTGGTGTGCGTGACGGCTGGTGTAGGAGTCAGTGCCCATACTCACCCTTCTCTTGGAGAGTACTGGGGATGGGACTGCGGAGGCAAAAGACCGGAGAGCCCTTGAAAGAGAATTTTATGTACATGTACGAGGGTGGGGCGCAGCTGCACATTTGGGTCGCTGTCACCGCGGGAAAATGCTGCCATCTCTGGCCTCCTCCAGGATGGTCTCCACGCGCCGCCTCTGCAGGGACAGGGCTGGGGCTAAGTGAGTGCGGACGTGGGCCTCTCGCCCCTCCCTCGGCTGGCCCGCACCTCTTGCCGGTCCAGAGGGTCCGGGATCCGCGTCGACTTCAGCTGGGGTGGCAGGAGCAGCTCGAGCCGGATGGCAGCCCGCGCGGAGCCCTGCTGCCGGATGAGAAGCGTGATCTCTTCCGCCTGCGGGCCACAGCGGGTGAGCTGCGCCGCGCGGAGCTCCCGCACCCCGCTGCCCTGGGGAGAGCCCCGTGCCCATGCCCCGTGCCCCGTGCCCCGTACCCGTGTCCCGTGCCCCGTGCCCATGCCCCGTAACCGTGTCCCGTGCCCCGTGCCCCGTACCTGTGCCCCGTGCCCATGCCCCGTGCCCCGTGCCCCGTACCCGTGTCCCGTGCCCCGTGCCCCGTGCCCCGTGCCCGGGCGCCCACCCGCATGCGGATGTAGCGCAGCCGCAGGCTGCGCACGCGAGCGCGGGCCTCCGCCGCCTTGAGCACGCCCAGCAGCGGCTCTGCGGGCCCCGCGGGCTGGTCGGGCGGCCGCGTCCAGGCGCACGGGTCGGGCATGCGGTTCTCCAGCTCAGCCGACTGGCGCGGGAAGACGGAGGCGGCCGCAGCCCCGTCCTCGGGCAGGTCGCTGAAGAGCAGGTGGTGGCGGCGCTGCGTGAGGGGCAGGGCCGCCAGCCCGTCCAGGGTCAGCGCCCAGCCGGGCCTCGGGGCCTCCGCCGCCGGCCCTGCGCGCTGCCCGTCGGGTTCCGCTCCGTGCGCTCCCTTCGCTGCGGGCGGCCACATCTTAACTGCGAAGGGACCGCGACATGCTCGGGCTGCCCTCCAGGCACGTGTGCCTTCTGCTGGGTCCCTCTGGCGCCCTCGGGGCTGTTCCTGACGCCTCAGTCCCGCCTGTAGCTGGGACTTGCAGACGTGCTCGGAGCTGTGGAAATCGCCCGCCTCGCCACCGCTCCTCTCGGGGGACTTTAGGCCCCACGGGGGCTGCGAACTGCAGTGCCATGCGTGGGGCCTGACTTCCGGCTGAACTTGGCAGACATAGGGCAGTCGCTCTCACATGCGGGGCTGTCCTGCTCCGTACTGGCCCCAGGACCCCAGCTACAGTATTCAGGGTGGAACGGGGGCTCGATCTTGCGCCTGATCTGTTTCTATTTGTGTGTGCGCGCGTGTGTGGTCTGTATACGAGTGTGTATGTGTGGTCTGAGTGTGTGTGGTCTGTGTGTGTGCATAGGTGGTCTGTGAGTGCGTGTGTGGTCTGTGCATGAATGTGTGTGTATGTGTGCTCTGTATATGTAGTCTCTGTGTGAGTGTGGTCTGTGTATGTGTGTGGTCTGTAGGTGTGAGTGTGTGTATATGGTCTGTGAGTGTAGTCTCTGTGTGATCTGTGTGCGGTCTGTGTGAGTATGCATGTGTATGTGGTCTGTGTGCATGTATGTATCTGTGTGTGTGGTCTGTGTAGTCTGTTGGTGTATGAGTGTGCCTGTGTGTGTGGCCCAGTTTGTGCGATCTGTGTGCTTGTCAGTGTGTGGTCTGTGTGTGTGGTTTGTGAGTGTGGTCTCTGAGTGTGTAGTCTGTGGGTGAGTGTGCATGGGAGTTTGTGTGCTTTTGTAATTGTGGGTGTTTGTGTGTGTGCCTGTGTGTGTGGTCTGTGTGAGTGTGAGTGAAACTGTGTGTGGTCTGTGTATGAATGAGTATGGTCTCTGTGTGTAGTCTGTGTGTGTGTGCCTGTGTGTGTGGTCTGTGTGAGTGTGAGTGAAACTGTGTGTGGTCTGTGTATGAATGAGTATGGTCTCTGTGTGTAGTCTGTGTGTGTGTGCCTGTGTGTGTGATGTGTGTATGGTCTATATGTTGCATGTATGTTTTTGTGTGCCTGTGTGTGTGTGTGTGTGGTCTGTGTGCATGTCTATGTGTAGTCTTTGTGTGTGTGGTCTCTGTATATGTGCATGTGTATGATCTGTGTGTCTGCGTGGTCTGTATGTGTGGTCTGTGTGTGTGCATGTTGGTGTGTAGTCTCGGTGGGTGTGTTCTGTGTGAGCATGTGTTCTGTGTGTGTGCATGTGAGTGTGAGTGTGTGGGTTTGTATGCGTGCATATGTCTGGTTTGTATGAGTGTGTGGTCTATGCATTTGCGTGATCTCTGTGCATGCATGTGTCTATAGTTTGTGTGTGGTCTCTGTGCATATGTGTATCTATGTGGTTTGTATGTGTGGTCTATGTGTGTGTCTGTTCTGTGTGTGCATCTGTGCATCTGTGTGTGCATGGTCTGTATCTATGTGTGCATGTGTGCATGGTCTGTGGTCTTTGTGTGGCCTGTGTATGTGCATGTATGTGTGGTCTGTGTTTTTGAGTACGGTGTCTGTGTGCATGTGTGTGGTCTCTCTGTGTGTGAATGTGTGTGTGGTCTCTGTGTATGTGGTCTGTGTGAATGAGTATGGTTTCTGTGTGTGTGGTCTGTGTGTGTGGGTCTGTGTGTAGTATGTGGTCTCTGTGTGTCGTCTGTGTGTGCACATGTGTATATAGTCTATGTAGTCTGTGAATGTGCCTGTGTGTGTGGTCTTTGTGTGTGTGCATATGTGGAGAGTATGTGTGGTCTGTGTGTCAGTGTTGTCTTTGTGTGTGGTATGTGTATGTGTGGTCTCTCTGTGTGTGAATGTGTCTGTGGTTTGTGTATGGTCTGCGTGTGCATGTGTGGTCTTTGTGTATGTGTGTCTGTGTGGTTTGTGTGTGTGGTCTGTGTGTGTCTCTGTGGTCTCTGTGTGCGCATGTGTCTGTGGTTTATATGATCTCTGTGTTATCTGTGTGGTCTCTGTGTGTGTGATCTCTGTGTGTGTGCATGTGTGTGAATTTGTGGTCTGTGTGCATGTATATGTGGGCTCTGTGTGTGTGTGTGAGTCTGTGTGGTCTGTGTGTGTGTGGTCTGTGTATGTGTGTGTAGTCTATGTGTGCATATAAGTGTGTATGGTCTCTGTGTGGTCTGTGTGGTCTGTGTGTGTGTGTAGTCTGTGTGTGAGTAGTCTGTGTGCGTTTGAGTATATCGTCTCTGTGTGGGGTATGTGTGCATGTGTGTGTGCATGTATGTGTGGTCTCTCTGTATGGTCTTTCTGTGTATGTGGTCTGTGTGACTGTGGTCTGTGTGTGTGGTCTGTGTGTGTGCGAGTGTGTGTAGTCTGTGTATGTGGCCGGTGTGTGATTGTGTGTGGTCTGTGTGTGAGTGTGTGTGGTCTCTGTGTGTGTGGTCTGTGTGTGCATGTCTGTGGTCTGGTCTATGTATGTAACTGTGTGTGTGTGATTTCTATGTGTGTGGTGTGTGTATGTGTCTATGGTCTGTGTCTGTGGACTGAGTGTGTGTAGTCTGTGTATGTGGTCTGTGTGTGTGTGTGTGTGTGTGCATGTATGTGGTCTCTGTGTGTGTGCACATGTCTGTGGTCTGTTTATGTGGTCTGTGTGTGTGTGTGTGGTCTGTGTGTGTGTGCGGTCTGTGTGGTCTGCATGTGTGTGCTTGTGAAGGTGTGAGCGTGTGGTCTGTGTGTGTGAGTGGGTGCTTGGAGGTTCAGGGTCCAGCGGTGGCTGGCTTGCTGCTGTGGTGGCCCCCTGTCTTGGCCTGTCCGCCACTAGGTCTAAATTTGGGGAGCAGAGTCCAGGGAGGGGAAAAAGGGAACCCAGCCCAGAGTCCTTTCTGGCTCTAGCCCATGGCGGCCCCAACTCGGGCTGGGTCCTTTTCCCTGTGGGTTAGGCCGAGCCCCAGCTCCCTACCCCACCGCTGGCTCAGCAGTCAGCCCTCTCATCCCTGGCCCACATACGCTGCGGAGCCTGCTGCGGAGCCTTCTGTCTTCTCTGCGCCACCGAGACTCTTCAGTTCTGCTGGACTCTCAAGGCTTGGGAAGCGGTTGCTAGGCAACTTGGAGTCCTGCCCCTTCCCCGCCCCCAGGGCAGGGCAGCCCCTTAGGAGGGTTTGTCGCTGGAGCTCCAGACCACGGCCCCAAGGCCTACGTGGCATTCCGGACCCCCTAAGTGACCGTGGGGCTTTCAAGCCCGGGTGGCAGTGAAACCGTTCTGGGAGGTGTGGACCCCGGTTTCCTGGTTGGAGAAGTCTTTGGAGCTGGTCTATGAGGCAGGAGCGCAGGCAGCTCCGAGGAGGCGGGCAGAGGTCCTTTCTCTTCGGAATGCTCAGGGACAGAGCTGGGGACTTCTCACCTCCCTTAGGGCAAGTTTGGGATCTCTGGGCCAGGTGTTTCTTCCAACCAGACCTGGGTTTTTTTAAACTCTAAATTTCTGGGCCTTGGGTTGTGATTTAGATTTCTCTAATTCATTTGTGCGTTTCATATTTCATACTATGTAATAACTACTATAAGTCACTTATTCTATATCCATTCATTAATCAGTGTATTCACATGGTCAAGTTACACTAAAACTGGAACAGTAAGTCTGTAATATATTAATGTTTATGTTACTTTCAGATCCTATACCTCTCACCTTCATTTCTGGACGGCTGGTGGTGCATTCTGAAGCTCAGGGGCCTGAGCTCAGTGCCTGGGAGAGGGGTGGGGCCCAGGCGAGGTTCTGGCCTTTCTGCAGGATGCTGCTCTCACTGGTGTTGGAAACTTGCTCTGGACTCTCAGTGAGAAGCGAGCGCGTGACTCTGCACCCTATAAGCCTGAGCCTGCACGCCCATGCCACAGCTGCATGGAGCAGGGGCTCCCTTCTAGCCCCAGCCTTGCATAAGCGGTGTCCTCAGAAAGCCCTTTTTTGCAGTGCCCCGTTTTCTCCTAATGCCGCTCTGTGGTGTGGGCTGTTAAGCAACCGCGCCTGGGCCAAGCAGGAAGCGGAGCAGGGGAGGTGCCCGCAGGCTGGTCCCTTGGGTGAGTCCTTTGGAGCTGGATCTGGCCGATCTGGCTATTCCCCTGGTCCAGACCAGGGATGCAGGGATGAAAGGATGGTTCCGTTGGTGTGGTGGTGGTGGGATCACAAAAGGAGTAAGAGAATGCTCTCTTGTCCTGCGAGAAGTAACTTTGTCACTTTTTTTTCCAATCAGATGTTATTGGTCCGTTGTAGATATACATAACGATCACATTCATCATAGAGAACTTGTACCAGTACATGATAAAACTTGATTCTTTGTTTTTCTTTTTCTTTTTGTCTTTTTGAGACAGGGTCTCACTGTGTATTTCAGGCTGGCCTTGGGCTCACTTTGTAGTCCAGGTTGGTTTTGAATTTGCAAGGATTTTCCTGCCTCAGCCTCCTGATTATAAGATTATAGGAGTGTGCCACCATGTCCAGTTTTAATTTTTGTCTCTCGATTCTTTTTTTCCCCATTCCTCTATCCTCCTTTCAACCCCTCCTCCCCATGTACAAACCTTTGTTTCCATTCTTTCCTTGTTTTCTTATTTTTTTCCTTTTTTCCTAACCTCCACCCCTCCCTTGTTCCTCTCCCCATTTGAACATTTTCTTCCTATTTTACAGTACCTGTTATGCATTTTGGTCCTTATTTATACTTTGAGTTTCTCAGACTAAAGAAACAATGTGATATTTACATGCATGTGTCTGATATTTCATGTAAGAGTATGGTCTCAAAATGCATCCATTTTTCTAGAAATGTTTCAAGTATATCCTTTCTGGCAGAGTAATACTCCATTGTATAAAAAGCACATCTTCTTTATCCATTCACCAGTAGATGGGTATTTGGGCTGTCTCCAAGATTTGGCTATTACGTACTGTGCCACTATAAACATAGGTGTGCATGTATTGCTGTGATATGATGCTTTTGATTTTTTTCAGGTAGATACCAACGAGGGGAATAACTGGATCAAATGGGACCTCTAGTCCTAGTTTTTTGAGGAATCTCCACACTGATTTCCACAGTGTTTGCATCAGTTTATACTCTAATCAGTAGTAGAGAAAGGTTCCTTTTCCCCCATATCCCTTCCAGCATTTTTTTTTTTATGTACTCACATTTACCAGGCAGGTATTTATGCTACTGAGCTAAACCTTTGGCCCCTTGCCAGCAATTTTTATTGGTTGATTTCTTAATAATAGCCATTCTTTCTGGAGTAAGTTGGAATCTCAGCATTGTTTTAATTTGCATCTCTTGAATGATCAGTGATGTTGAACGTTTTTTCACATATTTATTTGCTGTTTGTACCTCTTCATCTGAGAAATGTGTATGCATCTCAGATGCCCATTTTGGGTTGGGTCTTTAAATTTGGAGGATCTGATTTTTTTGAGTTCTTTATGTGTTCTTAATAGTAATTCTTTGTGGAACAGCTGGCAAATTTTTTTCCGCAGTGGACGAGTTGTCTTTTTACTCTGTTGGTAGTTTCCCTTGCTGTGCAAAAGCTCTTTTATTTATTTATTTACTTATTGCCTTTTTGATACAGAGTTTCATTAGGCAGCTCAGGCTGGCCTTGAACTCATTTTGTAACCCCGGGTGGCCTCGAACTCACAGCAGTCCTCCTGTCTCAACCTCCCATGTAGCAAAAGCTTTTTTTTTTTTTTTTTTTTTTGTCTTTTTCGTTTTTATCAGTACCAGGGATCGAACTCAGGACTGCCTGCTTGCAAGGCAGGCGCTTATACCGCTGAGCTAAATCCCCAGCCCCAAGCAAAAGCTTTTTAATAAGATGAAATCCCAGTTGTTGATTCTTTGTGATATTTAGATCTTTGATCCATTTCAACTTTAGTGTATGGTGAAAGATATGGGTCCAATTTTAATCTTTGGCATGTGCAAAGTCAGATTTTCTAGCACTATTTATTAAAGAGGCCATCTCTCTTCCAGTGAATGTGTATATTGCACCTTTGTCAAAGACAAGGCGGCTAACTGTGTCTGGAGTTGTTTCTGGTTCTCTAATCTGTTCCACTGGTCCTTTGGGCTGTTTTTTTTAAAGTCACAGTAGCTTTTTAGTATAATTTCAGGTTGAGAACTGTGATGTGCCCTGCCTGCCTTTGTTGCTCAGGATTGCCTTCGCTGTTCTAGATCTCTTCTGGCTCCAAATGAATTTTAGGATTGTTTTCTTTAATTCTGTGAGGTATGTTGTTGGAAATTGAACTAAATCTATATAATAGTTTTGGGAGTATATCCATTTTCATTAGGTTCTTCTTACCCAAATACCCGAGATATCTCTCCATTTTCTGACATCTTCTTCAAATTTCCTTTTTCAGAGTACTGTAATATTCTTTTCTTTAAAAAAATCTTTAAAATTCTTTTTCATTAAACATTTTTTTTTTCTTTTTTTGTCTTTTTCGTCTTTATCGGTACCAGGGATCGAACTCACGACTGTCTGCTTGCAAGGCAGGTGCTTATGCCGCTGAGCTAAATTCCCAGCCCCCATTAAACATTTTTTAATAGAATTTTACTTTTTTCCCTAAACCTATTTTATTTCAAGGAAAGAAGGAGGAAGAGGAGGAGAAGGAGAAGGAAGAGGAGGAGGAGGAGGAGGAAGAGGAGGAGGAGGAAACTAAAATAAAATTTCAAAATACGTCAGTCGGGGCAATTAATGGTGCATACATTGCACATTGTTATCCTCAGATCATTCACACAGAGCACAGGACATCTGCTTACAATCGTCCGAACAATACCAGCACCAATCCTTTTCTTCACTGAACTCAGAGAAATCAGTAGCATCTTAACTATTTTTTATATACACATACATCCACATACATATGTTGATACCTTCAGCTTCTCACACGAGTGAGACAGTGTCATACTAAACATCATACTAAATGGAGAAAACCTGAAAGCGTTCTCTTTAAAATCAGATGGGACGTCTATTCCTGTTGTTTGGAGGACTCTGCACACTGATTTCCACAGTGCTTGCGCCAGCCTGCACTCCCACCAACAGCGGAGGAGGGCCCCATTTCCCCGCCGCCCCTCCAGCACTTGTTATTGCTTGATTTCTTGATAACAGCCATTCTTTCTGGGGGAGGTGGACTCTCAGTGTTGTTTTAGTTTGCATCTCTCAAATGACCAGTGATGTTGAACATTTTTTCACATATTTATTGTTGTTTATATTTATTCATTTGAGAAGTGTGTATTCACCTCAAATGCCCATTTTTGGACTGGGTCTTTAAATCTGGGAGGACTGATTGTTTTGGTTCTTTGTATGTTCTTGATAGTAATCCTTTGTCTGAGATGCAGCCAGAGAACATTTTCTCCCACATTGTGTGTTGTTTCTTCACTCTGTTGGTGGTTTCTCTTGCTGCACAAAAGCTTTTCCTGGTTGATGATTCTTTGTGATAGTTCCTGTGCAGTTAGGGTTTTGTTTATAAAGTCTTTGTCTACATGAATGTGTTCAAGAGTTTTACCTACTCTATCTCTCAACAGATTTAATGTTTAGGTTTAATATTAAGATCTTTGATCTATTCTGAGTTTAGCTGAGTACATGGTGAAAGAAATGGGTCCAGTTTTAATCTTCAATATGTGCAAAGCCAATTTTTCTAACACCATTTAGTAAAGAGGCCATGTTTCTTCCAGTGAATGTGTTTGGCAGCTTAGTCAAACATAGGGTAGCTTAGTATGTCTGGAGTTGTGTCTGTATGTTCTAATCTGTTCCACTGACTTTTGGATCTTTTTTTTTTTGCTAGTACCACACTGTTTTATATCACAGCAGCTTTACAGTTCCTGTGCAATAGAGATTTTGTTCATAAAGTCTTTGTCTACATGGATGTCTTCAAGAGTTTTACCTACTCTATATTTCAAAAGATTTAATGATTCTCTTTAAATCTTAAGATCTTTGACCATTCTGAGTTGAGCTTAGTGCATGGTGAAAGAAGTGGGTCCAGTTTTAATCTTCAGTATGCGTAGAGCCAGTTTTCCCAGCACCGTATATTGAAGAAGTTTTCTTCCAGTGAATGTGTTTGGCAACTTTGTCAAAGATAAGGTGGCTTACTGTGTGTGGAGCTGTGTTTGCATCTTCTACTCTTTCCCATTGATCTTCAAATCTACTTTTTGCCAGTACTACACTGTTTTTTTTTTAATCACAATAGCTTTATAGTATAATTTAAAGTCAGGAATTGTGTGCTCCTGTCTTGTCCTTGTTGCCCAGAATTGCCTTTGCTATTCTAAGTTTCTTCTGGTTTCAGATGAATTTTAGTTTTCTCTAATTCTGTAAAATATGAATTTTGATTGGAATTGCCTTGAATCGGTGTAACTGTTTTGGAAATATGACCATTTTCACTATATTGGTTCTTTCTATCTAAGAGCATGTGATATCTCTGCATTTTCTAATATCCTCTTCAATCTCTTTTTTAGAGTGCTGTAGTTCTCAATTTAGAGGTCTTCTATATCCTTTGTTGGACTGATTACTAGGTATTTCTTTTCTTTGGAATGCTATTGTAAAAGGTATTGTTTCCCTGATTTCTCTCTCAGGAGTTTGTTGTTTGTGCAACTCCTATTGATTGTTGAGTGTTGACTTTCTAGCTACTTTACTGAATTTACTTATCAATCTAGTAGTCTTTTGGTGGAGTTTTTGGGGTCTTCTAAGTAGAGTATACTCATTGGCAAATAATGATAGTTTAACTTCTTCCTTTCCTATCTTTATTCTTTTTATTTCTTTCTCGTCTCTAATTCCTCCAGCTAAATTTCCAGGACTGTGTTGAATAAGAGTGGAGACAGTGGACATCCTTGTCTTGTTCCCAATTTTAAAGAGAAAGCTTTCCATTTTTGTCTATTTAGTATGACGTTGGCTGTTGGCTTGTCATAGATGGCTTTTATCAGAATGAGATAAAGACCATGTTTTCCAATTTTCTGTAGGTTTTTTTTTTTTATTATGAATGGGTGCTGGACTTTGTCAAAGGTTTTTTTTTTGGTATCTATTGAGATGATATGATTTTTGTCTTTGGCTCTACTAATATGGTGTATTAGATTTATGGATTTTTGTATGTTGAACCATCCCTGCATCCCTGGGATTAATCGCACTTGATCATGGTGTACAATCGTCTTGATAACTTGCTGCAGTCTGTTTGCCAGTATGTTACTGAGAATTTTTATATGAATGTTCATTAGGGAGATTGGCCTGTAATTCTCTTTCTTAGTTGAGTTCTTCTCTGGTTTTGGTATCAGGGTAATGCTTGCTTCCAGGAATGACTTTGTAAGTATTGCTTCCCTTTCAGTTTCAATAAAGAGTTTGAAAAGTGGTGGTGGTAAGTCTTCTCTAAATTTCTTGTAGAATTCAGCAGTGAATCCATCAGGGCCTGGGGTTTTCTTTGTTGGTAGGTTTTTAATTACATCTTTGATTTCATTGATTGATATTGGCTTTTTAGGATTTTTATATCTTCTTGATTCAGTTTTGCTAATTCATATGTGTCTAGGAATCTGTCCATTTCTTTTGCATTTTTCTTCTTATAAAAATACAAGTTCTCAAAATAGGTGTAGATGATCTGGATTGGTGCAGGATCCATTGTGATTTCACTCTTCATTCCTAATTTTGTGAATTTGAGTCTTTTTTTGACAAGGCTGGTTAAGGGTTTGTTGATTTTATTTAATCTTTCCAAGAGCCAACTCTTTGACTCATTGATTCTTAGTCTCCATTGTATTTCTTTCTGCTCTGATCTTTATTATTTCTTCCCTCGTAGGAGCGTTGGGCTTGGCCTGCTCTTCTTTTTCTAGAAATTTGAGATTCAGCATTAAGTTGTTTAGTTGAGCTCTTTTTGTTTTCCTGATGTGGGTATTCATTGCTCTGAATTTCTCTTGTGGGACTGCTTTCTTTGGGTCCCCTAAGTTCTGTATGTAGTATTGTCTTTATCATTTAATTATACAAAATGTCTAATTTCTCCTTTAATTTCATCTGTGACCCACTGGTGCTCAGGAGAGTGTTATTTAATTTCCATGTGTTGATTAAGTTCTTCTTGTGTTTTTGAACTACTGAAAAACGTTGGTGGTTCCTCCCCGCTTCCCAGCCAAGACTCTCAGAGGTCCAGCGCGTTCTGGGCACGGTAGACAGAGGTTGTGGTTTTGCTGTGAGGGAGGTACTCCTGTCCTGTTCTATGCCCAGGACTCTCTTTGAAGGTCAATAGAAACATAAACATGTGTTTATTGGCACCAAGTCCTAAAAATAAAGCCCCAAAATTAAATTAATGAGCAGTATTCAGTAAGTACAAAATTTAACATTATATTGAAAAGCTGCAACTCAATTCTTTTGTTGTTGTACCTAACTTTTGTTTGTTTTTGCAGTGCTGGGGATTGAGTCCAGGGCCTTGTGGATGCGAGGCAAATGCTCTGCCCCTGAGCTACACCCTCAGCCCTATATATAAATTTTATAAAGTTAAAATCACAAGAATGTAGTGGTTTATTTTGATGAAACTCAGAACTGTTAAAATGCTTTTGTTTTTTAGCTGAGTGTGACTTGGTGACTGAATTCCCCAGGCAGTGGCTGTCCCATGTGGAGCTGCCGTATCCTCTGCTTTGATTCCTGTTCTCTGGTGCCGAGGGCAGGGCTTGTAAAGTGTATAGGGAGGGACATGGGCAGACAGCATCGACTCAGGGAGTGAGGGCCAGAACGCCAGCTGGCCTGTGTGGTTCAGAAGGTGTGAGAGTGAAGGTGAGTCTCCTTCTGGGCCCCAGACCCAGGCCTGTCCACATGCCTATGACATTCACTTGGCCCTGTGAGCATCAGCAGCAATTTGTGGTGTGTGCTCTATGCTGTCATTTGTGTGAGGTTCATATCTTGGGCTGTCCCTGGTGTTCCTTCAGGTTTGGTTTGCCTGCCGGTAGGTGACATGTGCATTGGTGGTCCATTCTCTCTTCCACTGACCCCTGTGGGTCTGCCCCTCTGGAGGGGCCAGCTGCCTTTGCTGAGTTCCAGTCAAGGATTGAGAGAAGCCTAGGCCATTTTCTGTCAGTACCAGTCTCCTTTTGTGGGATGGGAGTTAGTCTGCCATCCTGGCCACTCACCTGTGGAGAGACCAGGTGACCCGTCTTTCCATCTGAGACTGTAGCTGAGGGTTGAGAAGCTGCCTCCACCTGTTCTGTGTGCCAGGCCTGCTGATCCACTCTCATGGATATTTGTCCAGCCCAGAGCTCACAGGCCTACCTGTGAGCTGACGTGTGGGTGGGACTGGGGACAGAGAAGAGAGAGACAGGACTGGAGCTGGCGAGGGCCTGGGACCTGTGCCCGTGGGGCAGGACAAGGCATGTTGAAGAGAGAAGCAGGCTCAGGGCCACATGAGAGGAGCAGACTACCTCCCTTTGTGGCTCTGCTTACTCTCACAGCATACTCTCCTCTACGTTGGGGCCTGGGCTGGGAGGCAGCTGAAGGCCGCTAGAAAATGAGGCTGTCAAGTGAGCAGGTAGCCTAGGTAGTTGGCCCAGGGGCCCCAAGGTTGCCTGGGGAAGGGGCTGCAGGAGTCAGAGCTCCCAGAGTTCCTGCTTCTCCAGGCTCCTGAGGTCCTGGGTCAAGCTTGTCTTGGAGTGTGTATGTGTGGGTGTGTGTTGTCATGTCCCTGGAGTCTGAACATGGTCTGTGTGTGCCTGTTTTCACAGGCATTCCTGCTGTTGTACTCAGGATTTGCAAGGAAATAGATTTAATACAGGACACATAATTCAAAGGATTATTTTATAATATTTACCCCAAAAAGTCAAAGGCAGAAGAGTCAAAGTGTCTATGAACTAGAGATTCAAAGAATCCAGCTGAGGGCCTGGATTCCATGGTGGTGTCCTGCACAAGTCCAGCCAAAGACCTAGAGCTCATGACAATGTCCTGTAAGTTTGTATCAAGGATCTGCACTCGGAAGACCCAAGGACCAGTGGTGGAAGCTAAAGTCCATGCAGCAGGGTGAAGGATCTGTGCCACAAGGTTGAGGAATCTTCACTGGAGCCAGGAAGTGATGCATGAGGCAGAGACCAGAGATCCCTTGAAAAGAACAGCAGCCGTCCCCAGTGACAGTGAGGACCTGAGCTGCTCTGACCACGAAAACAGCCAAGTTTGTATGAAAAAAGCCAGCCATTGCCAGCGTCTCCAGGAAAATCAACAGCACACCATCTTCTCTTTCAGTTCTCCTTCTATGGTGTTGGCAACAGTCCTCAGGTGGAGCTTCAGTGCTCAGAATGACCCTGACTCAGTTCACTTGGGCGTTCCAAGCAGACCACTAGTTAATCCTCCAACACTGCTTCCCTTGTGTCTACCCATGTGCCTTTGTGCACCTTGTTGTGTGTGTGTGCGTATGTCCCCTTTGTGCATCTGAATATGGACCTTCATCTTTGAGTTCAACATTTTCCTGTCCAGGTGTCTCTGTATGTGTTTGAGAGAATGTGTCTCCTGAGTGTCCATGTGTACCTGAGTCGTAGCTTCAGTGAAGATGCAGAGACAAGTCCTGAGGGATAGCTTGGGATGCTGAGTCCTAGGGTATCTGCCTGCTCCAGCCTTTCCTGATTCTACAGGTATCCTAGCAACACTATTGCCAGTTGCCTAGCAACCAGGTCCCCATCCTTGGAGAAGGGGCAGGGTCTGGCTGGTGGGGGGAGGTCTGGCTCTCTATGACAGCCTCTACAAGAGGAACAACACCACGATCAGGTAGGGTCTGAAAAACAATACGAGGGTCATCCACATGGTTTTACCCTGTGATCTTTCATCTCAGTGAACTGTACTTATAACCTCTGTACTGGAAACTAGCAGCTCCTTCTGAAGGAGCCCTTTATTGGTGTGTGTTCCTGGGCCCATCTCTGGGACCCTTCTTTATAGAGGTGCCCTTGATGTGGGTCTCCCCCTCTGTTGACAGGTAGTTTTAGAACTCTGAGGTTTTGTGCTCATAGTAGGCTCAAGCAGTGCAAAGTAGATGTGGCAGCAGTACTGGGTTCTGGACTCAGGCATCCTCCTGCTCGTTTACAAGACTCTGACCGTCTGAGAGCTGGCCAGGCCAGGGCACCATCATCTGTCCACTTGCTGTGGCTTGGCTACCCTCAGGGCCTGGTGGAGGGATCAGTGGTGGGTAGGGAAATTTAACAGAGGCTGGACTGGGACAGATTCTCACAAGCTGTGTCTGTGTGTCCTGGAGTCCTACATCTGCCTCTGAGTGAGAAGACTCTATGTGCATCTCCCTGAATCTTGTCCCTGTGTCTGAGTCTGTGACCTGTGTGTGTGTGTGTCTGAGTTCCTGTCTGTCTCCAATTCTGTTTGTGGGCCTGTGGACATCCCTGTCATATGTCCTGTTTGGGCTCATATTTTCACATGATCCTGTGTGTGTCTCATCTCGTGTGGGGACTAGGTGGCCAGCTTGGATGATCCTCCTTCCCGAGGCCCCCTCCTCTGGCCTGAGCAGCCCCTCCCGCTCTGGAGCTGTAGCCTCTTCCCCGCCCCCAGCTCTTGGCTGCCGCACTCACTGCTGCTGCTGCTGCTGCTACTGCGTCTGGTCTGCTGAGAAGGAGCAGCAGCCACGGCTCCCATCTCAACCCTGCGCTGGCCTGGCCAGCCCTGCTGCACAGCTGCCCCTCTGTCCTCCCTGCTGTGGGCTAGGTTTTCCTCAGTCCCACTGTCCAAGGACATTTAGGAGGTGAGGATCTGTACTGCAGGAGGTAAGGGGAGGGGGTCCTGCTGCTGCTGCGGGTGTGGCTAGGCTGTTCAGCAGGGCTGGGAGAGAGGAGAAAGCTGTGCCTGGCTGCCTGTGCCCCAGGCATCTCTAAGCTGATCTCAGGCTCTCTTGTGCCTGGGTGTACATGAGGATGTTTTGGACATTTTTGTGTTGACATGTGTGCATCACTCCCTCTGAGAGCACCCAGGGACTATGTGTCCTTGAGTCTCAGTGGGCGGATGCGCATCCTTGTATAACCACGTCTGCATAGTCCGTGTGTGAGTCTGTAGATGAGATGTGAGGTGTCCGGCTGGGTACATGTGTGTCTGTGTTTCATGAATCCTGTATGTACATGTGCCCTCCGGTCTGCATGTGTCTCTCTCTGTGTGTATGTGTACCTGTGTCCTTACATGAGTGCATGAGTGCTTGAGCATCTGTAGGTGCCATGGGTGGGTGGGGGTCCCAGTATCTGCTGGGCTGCACTCTGGGCTATGTTCTGAGCATTTGGCAGGTATAGTCCAGTACCGTGGTCACTTGTTTCTGTGCCCTGTCTCAGGTTCTGTGCTGAGTGGCTTTGCAGGGTGACAGTATGGAGTCTCTCTTTCCTGCTCCATTCTGGGAGGTCCTCTATGGCAGCCACCTTCAGGGCAACCTGTCTCTTCTGAGCCCCAACCACAGTGGGCTGCCCCCGCATCTGCTGCTCAATGCCAGCCACAGTGCCTTCTTGCCTCTTGGGCTCAAGGTCACCATCGTAGGGCTTTACCTGGCGGTGTGCATCGGAGGGCTGCTGGGAAACTGCCTCGTCATGTATGTCATCCTCAGGTATGCTGTGCCCCACAAAGGTCCCTGTCTAGTGAGTTCTGTACAACTGGGGAGGGAGAAACTGTGGCAGGAGGCTGTTGTAGTTGGATTTGAACAAGTAGAGATTTCCTGCTTTACATCACTAACTTCCTTTCTTCCCTGACCACGGAGTGGGGTCAACTCTGAGATCCTAGAGGGTCATCTGCTCAGCCTGTCTGCCCTAGCTGAGACATTACAACTCTGAGCCTGGTTCAAATCACAGCCAGGCTCCATGCCCCTGATGGTGTGACTATCCCACAGTAACCCCAAAGGGATGGCTCTTGTGAACTCTTTTCTCAGATGGGCAAAGGGAGGCACAAGGGTGGATGCTGTGACGAACCCAACGTACCTTCTCTCTGGCTGCAGGCTCTCTGTTCATGACAGCCAGCTGTTGTGGAGCCCTTGAGCACCATAATGCTCAGATGGAAAGCTGGCATTGGGCAGTTGGGGTGGGGGGTACAGAGTGGGGGGAGCTGTGGGAAGCACCAGGGGGATGGTTGTTGAGTGTATCATGAGGGACAACGTGGGGTGCACTGTGGCAGACAGTGTTGGGGTAGCAGTGTTGGTGCAGTGCTGGACTGGGCAAGGAGCTAGAAGGGAAAGGATTCCTAGTCCTGTGTTCTTGCAGGTAGAGGGAATTGAAGGGAGGGGGATAGTAGACAGGGTCTGCTGCCAGACAAGGGAGACTTACTTCTCCAGACATTAGGGAGTCATGAGAAGCCCTTGGGCAGGAAAATGACACAGCCAGGATGTTTTTTTTTCATAATCTAGGACATTTTCATAATTCAGAAGGAGGTGACTCTATAGCAGTGGTTTCCCTTATGACCTGGCAGATGCCCCAGAGGTATAGCCAGCTGCTATCCTTGAGTGCCCCTAAGCAAACCCTGTTCTCCTATGGCCTTGTTTTCCCCTTCTGGCAAGTGAGGAAGATGAACCATATAGCCATGCATGCATAAGTATGTGATGTGTGATCAGAAAGTCAGTAGGAAGAGCAACTGTGTCCCCAGCACTACCCTCCACAGAAGGGCCCTAGGAATCTGTTCCCAGACCCGCATACCCCTTCATGGCTGGAGGATGTGCTATGGGCCAGCCATGTGCAGTGACTGTCCCTCCTAGGACAGGTGCTTCTCTCCTGTTCTCTCTTCTGTGCTGGAATGTTGAAACTCTCAGAGCTACTTCTTAGACTTAGGCAAACAAGAAAGGCCATCTTGCCCACCCATGTCCCCAGGGGGTGGTGCTCAGTGTGGCACACTGGCTCAAGAGACCTCACTCTTGCTTTTTTCCAATTCTAAGGCTACTTCGACTGGGTGTGGTAGCACCTGTCTGTAATCCCAATTGCTGGGAGGCTGAGGCAGGAGGACTGAAGTGAGTTTGAGGTCAACTGGGGCTACATAAGTGAGTTCAAGGCCAGCCTGAACTTCATAGCAAGCCCCTGTCTCAAAAAAAAAAAAAAAAAAATCTAAAGCAAAAAAATAAAGACAAAAACAAACCAACAACCAACAAACAAAAAACTGGACAAAAAGCAAAGCAAAGCAAAACAAAAAACAAACAAAAGATTCTTAGTTTTCTGGGCCCCAGTTTCCTCCTTCATACAGTGAGATTCAAAGTAGCTCTTATAAATCTCAGATGAGATAAAATCCATGTAAAGAGAGTGGCATAAATCTCTGCCATTGTCACTATCATTGTCATTATTGTTACTTAGTTGCAATTAAGGCTTTTGGACTTACTCTTAATGTTCTCAGAAATAAGACTAAACTTCAGATGACACGGACTATTGTCATCTCTGACACAACTGTAATCCCAGCATTTAGGAGGCGGAGGCAAGATGATTGTGAGTTCCAAGCCAGCTTGGACTATATAGCAAGATTCTGTTTCAAAACACAAAATAAACAAAAAAATTATCGCTGATACTGCGACTGCTACTACCACATGTTTTTTTAATCACCTGTAGTTTTCTAGCCCTGTTCCAAGTGCTTGAATGCAGTCATAATATTAGCGCCCCCTGGCCCTCGATAGCAGTGCGGAGTAGGAAGGCCTATGTTAAGCTTTAATAGACTTTGGGGCAGTTAGAAACCTCTGGAGCACAGGGCCAGTAGACTAGGTGGCACTGGTGATGTCTGGAGGGAGCCTGGAGCAGGAGGGCAGGTCCGTTCTCTTGTGATTCCTACCCTTTGCTCCTTTGCTGTCAAGTGCTTGCTCTGGTGGCCTAGCTTTTCTTAAAGACCAACCTTTAAGGCTTGGAACCCTTTTGTATGTGTGAGGGTCCCTTGATGAGCTTGTTAAAACCTTTGCCCCCGGGGCTGGGGATTTAGCTCAGCGGCATAAGCGCCTGCCTTGCAAGCAGGCAGTCGTGCGTGATCGAACCGATAAAAAAAAAAAACCTTTGCCCCCAGGCTACATCCAGCGAGACTTACTCAGTGGGCCTAGGGCTGGGTGTAGAACTCTGCCATTTAACAAGCTCCCTTGGGGACTCTGATGTTGACACACTCAGGGCTGGTGTCCTTTGTGGTAGCCAACAAAATGAGCTTCTTGCCTTTGGCTGTCTTGTTCGTTCAGAGTAGACAAATGAAACTGTTCTTTCTGTCCTGTCTGCAGGCACACCAAGATGAAGACGGCTACCAATATTTACATCTTTAATCTAGCCCTGGCAGATACCTTAGTCCTGCTCACGCTGCCCTTCCAGGGCACAGACATCCTGCTGGGCTTCTGGCCGTTTGGAAATACCCTGTGCAAGACAGTTATTGCTATTGACTACTACAACATGTTTACCAGCACCTTCACACTGACTGCCATGAGTGTGGACCGCTATGTAGCTATCTGCCATCCCATTCGTGCTCTTGACGTTCGGACATCCAGCAAAGCCCAGGCCGTCAATGTGGCCATCTGGGCCCTGGCCTCTGTGGTTGGCGTTCCTGTCGCCATCATGGGCTCAGCACAGGTGGAGGATGAAGGTCAGTGGTATGGGGTTCCTCCTTCTACCAGGCTCCTATGGCTCCAGTGGCCATCCTGACCCTGTTTCTCTCCCTGCAGAGATCGAGTGTCTGGTGGAGATCCCAGACCCCCAGGACTACTGGGGTCCTGTGTTTGCTGTTTGCATCTTCCTCTTCTCCTTCATCATTCCTGTCCTCATCATCTCTGTCTGCTACAGCCTCATGATCAGGCGGCTCCATGGTGTGCGCCTGCTCTCAGGCTCCCGAGAGAAGGACCGAAACCTGCGGCGCATCACGCGGCTGGTGCTGGTGGTGGTGGCTGTGTTTGTGGGCTGCTGGACACCTGTGCAGGTCTTTGTTCTGGTCCAAGGACTGGGTGTCCAGCCAGGCAGTGAAACCACGGTGGCCATTCTGCGCTTCTGCACAGCCCTGGGCTATGTCAACAGCTGTCTCAACCCTATCCTGTATGCCTTCTTGGATGAGAACTTCAAGGCCTGCTTCCGAAAGTTCTGCTGTGCGTCTGCCCTGCACCGGGAGATGCAGGTGTCTGACCGTGTGCGCAGCATTGCCAAGGATGTGGCCCTTGGCTGTAAGACCACTGAGACAGTACCACGGCCCGCATGACTAGGCGTGGACCTACCCATGGTGCCTGTCAGCCCACAGAGCCCATCTACTCCGAACACAGAGCTCACACAAGTCACTGCTCTTTAGACTGATACCTGAGACTAAGCTTATGAAGCCTTGGATAGCTTTCCCTTTGGCCCAAGGCTGCTCGGTCACAGGAGAGGACTCACTGCATGATGGGACAGGTCAAAGCATTAGGGCTGCCTCTGTGGCCTCTGCCTCTGTGGCCACTGTAGGACTAAAGCTGCTGCCCTGGGTTAGGGGCAGAGAGAATGAAGAACACTGCCTGGAAGCATGCTTTGTAGACTCTGTGGGCTCAGTGGAGGTACCTGCCTGGGGCCTGCATTCACACTGCTTCACCTGACTCCCCCATCTTCTGTCTCAGCCTGCTAAGCTCTGTGCTTTCGGTGGCTCCTGCCAGAAGTCTAGCAGCAGCTACACAGCTGTGTGTACAGTCTGTACTACATGTGGTCTGTATGGCAGGGTGCCAGGTACTCTCAGCTTTTTGTGTCTTCTTAGGGCAGCCAGACAGGCTTGGCACTGTCCAGGAGCACAATGGGCAGCACTGTCCCTGAGCTTGGAGCTGCCCCTGGAGCACCTACCTGTTCTGACTTTACCTGTGCAGACAGGGTTATCCTAGTAGGGTTACATGTAGTTCCCAGCTGAGGCCTCGGGTGGGTCCTGGTCCCAATGTTTGCTGAAGGTTCTCTTTCTCCTGCATTACGTAGCTCCTGGATGCGAATCTGCCATTTAGTTGCTGCCTGCTCTGCCTGACTTTGCCTCTGTTCTGGGCTCAACTTCTTCCTTTCAGGAGCCCACAGGGCGCTCGGTCTCTGGAGCCTATAATTTCCAGAATTACGAAGAACTATCATACATAGACCATGTAATGAGCTCTGATTCTTGGGAAGCAGAAGTTGGCTGAGGAGGATGGTGCCGGGTGACCATCATGGGTTGCTCTGTTGCTCACAAAACTGATGGTCTGTGTGCCTGCTCGTGACTGCTTGGCCAGGGCAGGGCAGGGGAACACACTCTGTCCGGAGGTTCCCATGATCTCATAATCTCTGCTCTGCTTGAAGACAGAGGACAGCAGCTGTAGAGCTGAAAGGAGACCTCATACCTTGGAAATGGCAGCACCTGAGATGTGTTTTTTCCTATCGCCAGTGACTGCCAACTTCACTTGCCAGCCTATGGATAAGGCCCTGAGCTCGCTCCCAAATCAGAGGCCGGCTTTACATGCCTATCTGATGTGAGGTTTGGAGCTTGGCAGGGCTTACATGAGCCAAGCTTCAAAGACTATCAGCTTTGGGGCCACTGGAGGAATCTTTGTATGGGGACTCCTAGAAAATCACCTAGAAAATCATACAGCTTTGCAAATCCTGCAGATGAACTATTGATCTTGTGCCACTGAGATCTTGACCAAGGGACCTCAAGGGACATAGACCTGGGTCAGGCTTTCATCTCAGGGAGCCCTGGCTACAGGGCTTCTGTTTGCAGCAGGTGGGACTCTGTGACGGCTGTGGCAGGGGCCCACCTGATTGTGGTGTTTTCTTGCCAAGGTTGAAAACTTTGTGAATTTGTGCTGGTGTAACATGCCTCTTAATATATTTATGCATGTGATATGTGACATTTCCCATGCATGTAGCCAGCCCTGAACCTGTTTTTGGGGGTAATGAAGGAGGGCCACAATAAACACTTGCTCACTCACTGGTCCCTTTCCTTATAAGGTGATCCTGGCCCTGGCCACGTGGGGCTGGCTACTGGGGTAATTTCTCGGGTTGACATGCTGTGGGGAGGAGACTGTACAGCCCAGGCCACTGAGTCCTCCTGCCTGCCCTGTGCATCTCACAGGCTGGCTGTCCTTGATGAAATGGCCCCTGCAAGGTGCGGATATGATGAGAAGGCAGATAGGTCTTGGTGCGTTACAGGGGTACCACCTTCCCTTAGCACAGGTTTTCCCTACACAAGTGAGCGCCCCCTTTCCCTGCCAGGGTTCCTAGGTGGGAGGGTAGTAGGGCTCCCTTTACCCATGTCACTTCTGCAGATCCCATCCCTGTTCATTTCCCCTCTCTTGAGAAGATCTGACTGGAATTTTGGTGATGCATGAAGAGAGCAGCCTGTCCAGATGGCCTGGCCAACTTGTGCCACAAGAATCTGTCTCGGCTCCTGTGTGGGACCAGGTCAGCTCAGGATGACCACAGGCAGATGACCCTAGCAGAGGGCCTTTGAAGAGGGTGGCAGGGTGTGGTTTGGGTCAGAGGACTGGACTCCAGGGTAGGGGAGGTGGGGTTAGTACTTACGCATGTGTTGATGATGGGTTGTTAGCTTGGGCTGCCATAACAAGGCACTTTACATTGGCAGTTTATTAGTGACCAGTGGTGATTTTGAACAGTTCTAGAGGCTGGGAGCCCCAGTGCAGGGAGCCTATGCCATCCAGTTCTGTTGGAAGCTGTCTCCCCTCTGTTTCAGTGGTGGAAATGGGCTCCAAAGCCTTGAGTGTCCTTTAAATGAAGGTGCTGATTCCTCCTGGGGGTTGCCACCTCACAACCTACTCATCTCCCTAATATTTGCCTCCCAACATCACCTCCCAGTGCCATTATGGTCAGGGGTTAATACTTCAGTGTATGAATTTGGAGAGGGTAGTCATATAGTCCTTATTAGACACAGTGCCACTCAAACAAAAATTAATTATCGAGGGAAAATTTGAGAGGAACTAGTACAGTTATAGTTCTTGGTGGCCAGAAGATGCTATAGTCCTGGTGGAGAGGGTACCCATGTGTAGTCCTGGGCTGCAGGCTTCCTGTCTAGGGTGTACATCTGGGACCAATGCCCCTCCCCACCAAGGTAGTGGCATTAGCAGAGGCTGTGCCTCCCCGACCCTCCAGGACAGGCCTCCTTCCTGAGCCTCTCTCTACCTAGCCTCTTCCTCTGGCACCCCTGCCTGCATCTCCCCCCATCTGCTGCTGGGCCTGGTCAAGACTGGCTTCTCTAAGCCTAAATTTCCTTCCTTGCACCAAGGACTATAGAGCCTTCTTCAAGGGGATGTAGACGGCCCAGAGTGAATGGTGATCAAGGCTCAGAGGGACCTCAGGAAAGCCTGGTTCAGGACTGCTTTGGACTCTTCCCATCAGGGGGCACTGCGGCCCCACATGAGGCTCAGTATCCCCTGCCAGGGTGGGGGTGGCAGTTGCTGTGGCAGTGAAATTTGGTTGCTGAATGAGGGCTAGGAGCCAAAGCATGGGGACAGGATGAGCCGCTCAGAGTGGCCCCTCTTCGATGTTAGGGGCTTGCATGCAGGAGACCCTGTTGAGAAGTACCTCTGCCTCTGTCCTCCCTTGTTCTGGGCCTGGTTGAATCAATATTGTCCCCTATGATGCTCCCAAGGAGCTGCAGAGAGGATGGGAGCTCATGGATGGGGGTAGAAATTACCTGGTGGGGTGGGGGTGGGGAGAATGTAAAAAAGAAAGAAACTACCTGAAGGAATCAAGGGCCTGGGGTCTTCGGAGGAAACTTGGTGGGTACCTGCTCTGCAGTGGAGATGGCTAGCTGGAGCCCAGGGACAAATGGAGGCACAGTGGGAGCCCAACCCAGCCCAAAGGCACCTTAGTGTCCAAGCCTGGCACACTCCCCAGTGCATCCCTGCCTCCTGATCTTCTCACCCCCATCTTCACACACCCTTATGCCATGCACCTGGCTCTGTCACACAGCAGCTTCACGCCCTAGCTCTCAACCCGAAGGAGCTGGCGGGTACAAGAACAGTGTGTGGACTGGTAATTAGGCTGTTTGCGAGGTGTGATTGTACTGCAGGAAGGAACAGGCTCTGGGTGGCTTGCTCTTCTTGCAGTGCCGTGGATCTGGGTGGTGATTTCAAAGTACCTACAGTCCCCTCAGTGTGGGCTGAGTTCAGCAGTGGGGAAGCAGCATGGGGCCTAAGAGGTGGGGAGAGACCTGGCTCACTGACTCCTGCCCTGGGGCCAACAGCACCCTGCAGGACATGCTGTGCCCCAGCACCCCTGTCCTGTAACACCCCAGTAGTCAGCCTGCTTGGAGATGACCCTTAGGCCCTGTATAGACACAAGAGGACCTGCGCCTTGCCAGTGTTCTGGCTGAAATCTCAGGGGAGATCAAACCTCTTCCAGGCACCCGACTCCAAGCATCTAAAACATTTATTATTTTACAGCTCTTAAATTTTTGGAGAAACCTGTTATACAGCTACAGGCAGCTCGTACAGAGGTGACATCTGAGTTGTTTGGCATTGGCTGTAGGTACACAGGGAACAGGGGTATGGGGCTGATGTGGTTCTGGAATCAGGCACAGAGTGGGGCAGTGGCATCTTCCCTGGGCACCCAGCAGTGATCAATGCTGGGCCTGCGTGTCAGGGCCCCAGTTCTGAAACTCACATGGTGGCTAGCCATTTGGTGAGGTCTTAGGGATTTGGTAGATGTGGAACAGCTGGGAGCCAGATGCAGGTCCACCAGGCAGCAGTGGCCTCTGAGCAGCCTGCACCTACAGCCATATCCCACAGTTTTAGCTTCTGGTGGCTAAGTCCAGGCCACAGGCCCATCTAGGGTGGAGGGGGCTGCAGCTGCCGGCTTCTCCAAAGCACAGCCAGTTCTTAGAGTACTGGGACTGAGAGGTCCTGGTGGAAGGGCACTGAGTCCTACAGCAGGATATAAAGGGGCCAGGGGTGATAGGTGGAGTGCAAGGACATGGGTCTCCTGGTGAGCTGACACTGTGTTTTAGGTCACTGGTGCATTTTGTGGCTTCACTTGATACCCATGATCTTGCCCTGATCAGCAGTGCTCTACTCTGTTCCCCAAGGTACCCACACCTTTGTCACCTCCCTGTTCTGTGTTAAGGAGCCCAGGGGGTCCTGAGTGTGGAACACAGCACTGACTCCAAGCCAGGCTCACAGTTTAGGTCCCTTCTCTTCCAGACCTCTGTTGTCAGGGAACCTTGGTTCCACAGAATACATATAAGGGACCATCTTGGGAAGGCATCTGTTTGTCCATCCTGTTTGGGTGACCAGACTCGCTGTGCATGCTACTAGGATCTGAGTCCCTACAGGTGTCCATGAAGCAGAGACAAGGGCAGGACCACACTATAGTGGTCCTTTTTGGAGGTGACACTTTGCAAGGTCCATATCTGTGTGGGAAATATAGAGATGTGATGTGGACAGGCAGGATGTTCCCTGACCTGGGAGGAATGGCCGGTGATACTCAGGCTCTTCGGCACAGAAACAAGGTGCGGAAATTCTTGCGGAAGCTGTCATCCAGAAAGGCATACAGGAAGGGGTTGAGACATGAGTTGACGTAGGTGAGGCTGGTGATGGTATAAGAAATACCAATGACAAAGGATGTCTGGGGCATGTCTGTGGTCAGGGCCACCACAGAGGACAGGTGGAAGGGCGTCCAGCAGAGGAGGCACACAGCCAGCACGGTGAGGACTAGGATGGTCACTTTCCGCTTGGCCTTGCCCAGGGCCTTGGCCCCAGAGTGGAGCTGCATGGCCTGCAGTCGGCGTAGGAGATCCACATAGAGCACACAGATAGCACACACAGGCAATACAAAGCCCAGCATCAGTGTGTAGATGCGGCTGGCCTGGAACCAGGCCCGCTCTGGCCGTGGAAAGCTCAGCCCACAGCTGGGCACCTGCAGCTCATTGCTGTACACATGAGCAAAGGAGAAAAAGGGCAGAACCATGATGGTGACACACAGCCACACACACAGGCTGGCAACCTTTGCTCCCCGCTGGGTGCGCTGGGGTACACGGCGGGACTGCACAGTGGCCAGTACCACCAGGTAGCGGTCAATGCTCATCACAGCCAGGAAGTAGATGCTGGAGAAAATGTTGTAGTGGTCGATGGCTAGCACCAGCTTGCAGAGAGGCTCCCCAAAGGGCCAGTGCTGCAGCAAGTGCTCCGCGATGTTGGTTGGAAGGACCAAGATACAGAGCCCATCAGCCACAGCCAGATTCAGGACGAACACATTAGTCACTGTCTTCATCTTGGGGGCCCTCAGGATCACATAGATGACGGCCATGTTCCCAGTCAGCCCCACAGCGCAGATCACAGAGTACACAGCTGGCAGGAGCACATAGAGTACCGACAGGGGCTCTGTGGAGGTGGTATTGGGCTGGATGCTGTTTTCCTGGGAGAGGTTGGCACCCATGGTGGGGAGGAAGGAGGCACTTCCATTTTCAGGTGGCTCTGGGTGCATAGAAGCCTGCATCGTGTGGAATTCGGAGGTGGGTGTCTGTGCAGGGATTTTCTTGTGCTGGATTCTGGGAAGCAAACAACCAAAAGTGTTGCAGTCTGACTGCTCAAGTTCTGTGGAAGTAGTTTTGGCCACTCTGTCAGGCCAAAGACATGTAGAGCTGCTTTATCCCTTCCAGTCCAGGGGTAAGTGTCTCAGAGCAGCCCTGTCTTGTGATGGCCCCAGCAGTTGGCCTTCTTGGCAGTAGATAATCTCCCTACCCAAGACGCCTCCTCAGAGGGCAGCCAACCAACCTCCTGGGAAGCCTCATCCTGCTCCCCAACGTACAACATCACAAAATCGAGTCTGTCTTCCCTTTGCAAACAAACCTCCCGGTGCATCTCTACCTTTGCTGAGTCTGAAGTAACTTCTTGCAGGGTCCTAGAGCCCTCTCCCACCCTAGTGCCACTGAAGCTCCCACCCACATAGCCCTTCACTGACCTGTCTGATACCTGTGGCTGGAAGTTGATGGTCTTGGTGAGGTCTTAGAGGGAGCAGAGTGTGGGCAGACGTAAGGGCAGAGGTGCAGACCCGAGTGACAAATCCTCAGTGGCGATCCCAGACAGCCTCACTGGCAGGAAGGGGCTTCTGGGACCTGCTCTGATGTTGGGTGCGCCAGTCCTGGATGACTTCCAGCAAGGCTCCCAGCCTTGTGGCAGTGCTGATGTGCTTGCTCATCAGAGGCAGGGAGTGAGGGAGGGAGGGAGGGAGGGAGGTAGGGAGGCAGGCAGACGGGCGGCTTCTGTTTGCTGACGTGGAGCTCTTCAGGCTCTCCTCACAGCCCTGTGCTGCCTGCCATCAGCTCATCCCAGGGTCTCCTTGGCACCCACTCCCCTAGCAACTTCCCAGCAGGCAGCCAAGGGCACGTGAATGTTTGTGCACATGTGTACCTGTACACTGCAGGGGTCTGGGCATTTGTGCTTTTGTTCATGGGTTGCTGTGGACCTGGGCTTCCTTATCTGTGCACATGTGTTTGACCCGATGTGTGTGTGCATGATGTGCACACATGCATGTGTGCCTGCATCTGCCTGCATGGGAATTTCTGTGGGTGACTCTGCACCATGTCTGATGGGTCTGCATATGTCCTTAGCAGGTCATGGGGTCTGGGAGACTATATGTCCACATGTGGAAACGGCTTTTTAGCCACACACAGCCTGACTTCTTTGCGTTTGCCAAAAGAACATAGATGTGCACAGAAGCCAGGCAAGCCATGGGAGGCCGTGGAGAAGAGCAGTTTGCTTCTATGCAGGCTCCTGTCCCTTCTCTGAATCCACTGTCCCACCTTAGACAGACTGCTGAGTGGTAAGAGATGCACTGTGCCCTGGGATGATCTTCACATTCCTCTCCACTCCCCATTTTTTCTTCCCCTGGGTTTCTTCCGCTCCAACTCCTGGTTGGCTCTGGCCCTTTGTGGACAGTGCTGCAGCTAAGATGAGTGGCCAGCACATCTTGGTGCAGTTGCTAGTGTGACTTCTGTCTGAGAGGTGGGGCTGTCCATGAAAGTTGTGTCTACTGCCCTATGGTCCCAGGGCTGTCACCTGATACTAACAGGCTTGTTTCTTTGGTCCCTGCTTCCCCTGCCCAGGTCAGGGCAGAAGCCTTGCAAGTTGCCCTGTGTGCCCAGAGGTTGTCAATCCTGAGGCTGTGTCCAGGGGCACAATGAGTGGCTCCTAGGGTCCCCCTGTACTCTGCCATGAGGCATCCATAGCTGGCAGGGTCCTGGGATGAGGCCTGGATGGTGTCTGTATCTGTGTCCAGAGGGAGCTTCTTATCTAGGAGGAGACTGAGGCCCCACAGTGTCAGGGGATGGCAGTCAGCTACCATGAGGAAAAGTTTTATTGAGCTGAATTTCATAATGGTGTTTGTGAGGTGGAGTGTATGTGCTCCTAGAAACAAGAGACAGGAGAGAGAGAGGGTCAAGGCTGTGAATGGTAACCCCATGGGGGCCGGGCATGACAAGATTGGGGTGAGCCTTGGCCAGTCCTGGCGGTGGAGTGAATGACTGACCCCATCCTCAGCACTACGTACATGCACGTGGGAAGTGGCCAGGCCTCTGCCATCCAGCTGTCCTATAATGGGGTTGCATATACATATACAGGGTCTCCTGGTGAGTCTTACCACATGAGGATGGAACATGTCTTGTGTGCTCTTGAGAGGCAGCATGGTTGGGAATCTGTACCTCCTGTTCTTCGCTTGGGTCTGCGTATATCTTTTTTTGTTTTTTGTTTTGTTTTTGTCTTTTTAAGACAAGGTCCTGCTGTGCAGTTCAGGCTGGCCTTGAGCTCACTTTGTAGCCTAGGCTGGTCTAGAACTCGCAATGATCCTCCTGCTTCAGCTCCCAAGTGCTGGGATTACAGGTGTGAGCCACCACGCCTGGCCTAGGTCTGCATATATCACCCCAGCTTTCTCCAGGTTATTGTTGCAGATGAGTCTCCCCTTGAGCCCCAGGAGGGGCTCTGTCTATCTCAGAGCACAATCTTCAGAGCACAGATCTCCCCCTGGGGCTCTGGACCATGCCCCCTGACTCCCTTGAAAACAAACCTTGAGTCTGGAGTTCTCCTTTTACCCAGTGTTTGGCCCAGTCTGAGCCCCTCCCAAGCCCCATCTCTGCCCCTTGAGACTGTCTCGGGCTAGTCTGCCTCTATATCAAGCTTGTCTTCTGAGGTGGGGGACAATGTGAGGTGACAAGGGGGAGAGTAGGAGGGAGGAGAAAGGAGAGAGCTACAGGAACAGGGATACAAGTTGCTAAGCTCATAGACCCATTAGGCGTCAGGACTCAGGGAAGCTGTGTAGGTGCTAGGTCATCCCAGCATGGGGCCACGTGTGTGGGGTCCAAGCACCATTCTGCTCCTCCAGAAGTGGCTCCCTGATGCCCCCTGTAACTCCACACCTGGATCCATCAGCCTTAGGCTCAGAGAGCAGGTTTGTTCTGTTCGTGGGCTGGACTTGTCCCAGATTCTGGAGAGCTTCATTCTATGGGAGGATTTCCATTTTCACAAATGAACTGGCCTTTGTAAGCAGGCCCTTTGGGGTGTGAGGAGAGGCCTGGGGGGAGCCAGGGGTAGCTCCGTGGGGTGCAGTGGTGAGGACTGGGTGTGTCCAGATGGGAACTAAGTGCTGTACATTTGAGTTTTGTGTGAAAGGTTCTTGCAGGGGCCAGGAGGTTAAGCAGTACCACATTTGTGCGTGGCCCCACTGTTCCCCAGGACAAGGACAAGGGCAGAGAGAATATTGGGGCAGCCAGTCGAGAGACAGGCAAGTTCACCATGGAACTTTATTTTACCGTCATTCTATGTAGATATGGCAGTCACCTTCCTCCTACCACTGAGTGAGCTGTGATTCAGGTCTTCTCCCAAGCACACATGTGCACACATGTACTTAGAGGAGATGTTCAGGTACATTTACATGTATGTGCATATTGTCTATTTTGGCTCCATCCAGGGGCCCCCTAGTGGGTGGGGTGGACAAAGCTGCCCTGCAGGTGGGAGGGCAGGCCTGTCTACCTGACTTTCTCTACCTCATTCCTCCAGAAGGCTGGCATGAATCAGTGCCAAGCATGAAGACCAGGAGGTAATTGATTGGAAACTTTGCTCCCAGGAAGGAGACAAATGACACTAGTTTCCCTAGGATGGATGATGGGGACACATTCTCCTCAGGCAGACAGAAGAGCAGCTGCTTATACCCTGGGAGGGGCTGATGCTGATGCTGATGCTGAATGTACAGATTTGGGACTGTACGTTCTACTGATGGACTTCTGGTGACTCCCATCTCCCTTACCCAGCCAGCACCTATCTGTTGGGGTGCAGACACATCTGGGACTCCTGTTGGTGTCAGGGGCCACAGGAGCCAGGCCTAGAGGGAGGGGCTTCTGCTGGGCACACTCATCCACAGGAGTGAGCAGAGGTGCTGACCCTGGAGTGGGGACAATGGGCTTGTGTAAGCTAGCGGAAGGTGGTCCTGGGACTTGGCTCCCTTGCCTGAAGCAGGCGAGGAAAGCTATGTGAGGAGGGCCAGAGCTCTTGAAGGAGGGTCCCGGAGACAGGAGGCTGCTGCCCCAGTCCTCTGTGCAGGGTTTCTGTGGGAGCAGTTATCTGGACAGGGAGGGGTAGGGGCCTCCCTCAGAAACTATGGGAAACAGGAAGATTAGAGACCAGGAAGACCCTGGTCTTGAATCCTGTCATCTGGGGCAGCACCAATGCTGACCATGGTCTTCTGGAGTGAGGCAGCGTTTTGGGACTGGGCATTGACACCTTGCCTGGTTTATGAGCCTTTTGTGGTGAGGCTGGGTGTGGGTAAAGCTATTGACTGCCTGCCCCCTCATGCCCTGTAGATGCATGTGAGTGGCAGGTCCCAGCTCAGGGAACCTGGCTGTAAAGCTTCCAGCTTTGAGCTGAGCACAAACAGGAAGGAACTAATTGCTCCCCAGGGTCTAGGCCCATCTCAGTCCTGCTCCCTGCAGCTTCACTCCCTCTAAACCAGGTGGAAGAGCTGTTAAGAGGTGGGGCCTAGGCGTGAGCACAGTAGGCCCCAAGGAGCACTCTTTCCTAGGGGTGGGCTTCCTTCCCACTGTAGGAACGGCCTCCAGCTTGGAACAGGCCTGGGCGTGGATCAGGTTTGTGCTGAAGCTTTCAGTGTTCTCACCTGCTAAAGGCAGCTCAATTTCAGAAGGCTTTGTTGAAAAAGGGTCACTGTACAGGGCCTTGGAACATGTCCCTGGGGGTCTAAGTATACATGGCTAGAGATATATATCCCTCTCTGATCAGGAGAGGGCTATGGAGGGGTGTTGTCCTAGCTTGGGGCAGCTGTGGTCACTTGGACAGCACAGGTGAGCAGGGAGTGTGCAGGTGTCTTAAATCTCCAGTGGAGGGGTCTCCTCAGCATGTCATTGCGTGGGATACCTTCTAACAATGTTTGCAGTGACAGGGTACCCAGAGAATCTGAGAAGGCCAGGGAATGTTCACGGCATCCTCCTCAGTCCTTGAATTTGAATGAGCCCTGAACAGACTAGGCAATTCGTGCTCTGGCTTTCAGGCCCTTGGAGGCCCCTGATGAGTTGTGACTTTTCAGGGGGCAGTGCTTATCCCTGCCAGTGGAGATCATGACAATATATGGCTGGTTTCTGGGCCTGGGTTTTGTGGATGCTCCCGTGGCTGCACTGATAGACCTCAG